GTGCGGGTGATGGAGACGAGCTCGAGGGTGCTTGGGGACGAGCATCCTTCCACGCTGACCAGCATGAACAATTTAGCGTTCACTCTTCAAGGTCAGGGCCACTACAACAAGGCTATTCCTTTACTTGAAAAATGCTGCCGGCTGCAGCGACAGGTCTTAGGCCCGGACCATCCTAACACGCGTTCGTCTCTCAAGGCTTTACAAGCGTGGAAGGTCGGAGAACAAACACCAAGTGATTATTAGCGAGGCCGCTCATTTTGGAGAAGTATGTTTCGTAGGTTGAACACAACGTAATCGTCATGCGCGACTACAATGGGGCAAGTGCTAAAGCATTTGTAACATAGGTACGCTTTCTGTAAGATATCGCGATAGAGGAAGATTAAAGCATGTAAATTTTGCGAGTGATTAGAAAAAATCACTACAGTACGTGGTTTAGCGTTCTGAGGTGTCTTGGAAGTCATATTTTTACATTGGCCTCTAGCCCGTTTTCAAGGTATTTCTTATCTGTGACATGGAGCATAGTAAACAATGCACAACATGGTGAGAACATCAGAGATCACGTACAATACCGGAAATACGATGTCAGATATCAAAGCATGTCAAGTGTCTTGAATGTCGGTTCTGATTCAATTCTGGGCTAACCTGCCTTCTCTCGCTACAACATAAGGGATCTCGTTTGCAAGCGAAGGCCGCGATGGCCCCCAGTTGACTAGTGACACCCGGATAGCTCTTTGATGATTGCTTAGACTTCTCGTAATCTTGACCTAGATAACTGATGCTGTATGTGGGCGCGCCGTACGCAGATAGTCGATACAGGAGGTCACCGCCAATGTAGCCAGTGCCGCCGGTTCTGTGCATAGATGCGCATTGGTCATTTGCTGTACTTAAACCAAAATTTACAGCAAAGCTCTCGTCATGATATCATGCAGTGTTTAGTATCAATGCCTTTAGCATTCTGTTAACAGAAAGTTTGAAAAACGGGCGTGCCGTACCCTAAGAAGGCATAGACAAAGATACCTCAGTAGTCTTGGCTCCTTGCAGGAATTTTCAATGAGAGACCGAGCTGGTCACCGAACTGAATTCGGTGCGAGATTCGTGCACGCACCAAGTCCTTTGCTCCGAATTGCCACTCAGTCATACACATCTTGATAAAATTAAAAAGGAGATAAGTAACGGGAATGCACGGATCGAGTAGTGCCGAACTGAACTTATCGACTCCGACGTCGACAACGTATAGTATTGCAAAACATATAGGGAATATAACCTATGAAGACGAAGCGCCAAAGGATATAATTCAGAAGTACAAAACGATCAGACAAAACAATCGCTCAAAGTGTGATGCACGCTCCGCTGCTGAACGCATGAACATCGTGACAATCTTGAGGATGAGACTTAAACCACGCTCGACAAGTAAGCAAACTTAACAAACAGGCCATTTGGTGATCATACAACCATTATACGACGCATAGCATAGTGCTCGTGTTCAACTATTCTCTTTTTCGCCGAACAAAGCGTAGCGAGCACGTTATGCTGCTGGCTTCCTTTCCAATTTCCTCGGCTTCTTCTTCTGAGGTGCTGAATCCGTGCTAGACTTCGGGGTACTGTTCAATTTCCGGGGCTTTTTCTTCTCTGTGGCCGAAGCGGTGGGGTTTGGTTTGCTTGCTGCTGCCGGTTTGCCCGAAGGCTGAGACCTCGTGGGCGGGTCGCGCTTCTGCGCTTGGTTGGCTTGGGCGGGTGCTTTAGGCTTGGGCGCCTCCTTGGGTTTGGGAGCCTCTTTTGGCGTGGGCGCTTCTTTTGGCGTGGGCGCTTCTTTTGGCGTGGGCGCTTCTTTTGGCGTGGGCGCTTCTTTGGGCTTGGGCGCTTCTTTGGGCTTGGGCGCTTGCTTCGGTCCTGACGCTTGCTTGGGCTTTGATGGTGCCTTGCGTGCTGTGTTTTGCTGAGGCTGCTGTTTCTGGGGCTGGCCTTTTGCGTCGTCCTGTCCACCACCCCACGAAGGCATTGACGGCATGCTGGGCATTTTGGGCATTGAAGGTATTCCGGGCATAGATGGCATCCAGCTTGTCATGTCTCTTGCGGACTGTGCCCAAGTCTCTGGCATCGCTCCACCGTCATCACACTGCATCTTCTCCAATTCTTCTTGTGTGGGGGCCTGCGTTTCTTTCGTCTGCATGACCATTTTTTCCAATGCCTTCTTCTGTGCTGGAGTACACTTCCAGTTAGGGAAGTCTCCAACAATGCTTCGTACACCCTGGGAGGCCATCTGACCAAGGTCCCAGAACGGGCCATGCATAGCTCCGTAGACGGAACCGATGCCACCGCCGAGAAGCCCCGTCACCGCAGAAATTGTTCCGCCGACCAGCGCACCTGTCAACTTTCCAATCGTAACGCCCGGTTGGACGCCTAAACCTGCACCGGCAGCGAGACCTTGGAAAGTGCCTGAACGGGTGTATTTCGCAGCTTTCCCAAAGCTTTCAGCCTCAATCTCCTTGTTGATAGCTTTAGCAAGTATTTCTTCGCGTGCATCTGGATCGCCCGCGGCATTCGCAGCTTGTCTCAGCTCATACGCCTTCTGCATGGCCTGAAGCGCCATAGAGGCCGAAACGGCCGAATTCTGTTTGATTTCATTATCCGGGATATGGTTCTGTTTTCCGGCACCGCTGGATTTCTTTTGCTGGGCTGACATTCTTGAGTTTTGTTATTGTGAGTAAGAGTGAGTATCCGGACGGCGTCCAGATGTTTGGGTATATCAGAGAGGGAAACATTGATCGTCATGATCAGCATACGTCATTAGCGCGTGCATGGTGGCGCAGCTAAGGAAGTTAGGGCGCCACGACGTAAACACAGATGCAAGAAACAGGTTGGTTTCTGTCATCAGGCGTGGAGCGATGAGTGTCAATTGAAGAAGGCGAGCTGTTCTGTGGCAGATCATTGAAGGAGCTGCTGGTGGATCCATGGGTAGAGGATCTGCGCTTGACTCTTTTGGACTAGCTCCATCTCATCACACTGCACACTTGATCACATCGATCGACCTCATGTTTACAAGAACTCTCGAGGATGCTTCTTGTCTGGTGAGCGGGCATTTCAATTGAGTGGTATTGCAGAGCCAACGTCTGCTTCGGAGCGGTGAGGTGCAATATAACACAATCGGTCCGATTCAAGGGCCACAATGCAGTTGCCATCACACCCATGCTCAATTTGTCGATCGTCCTGTCGTCGAGGCGGAACGCCAGATCAGGGCGAATCATGTCAATGTGAACGAGTTCGAACGTCAGCGACTCCATAACGTCCTTTCAGAGCCGTGAGTCTCCACTGGTCGAAATGAGTGGGATATGGGATAAAAAAGATGTTGATCTGGAGGAATGCAGCAACAAGATATGTATTGCGCACACTAATTGAGAGGTCGACGAGGCGCACACGGATATGCAGCCCTGGAGACCCTCTTTGCAGGGATATGATACGCAGTAGAACACGATACGGACTCCGCCCGTGCGGTAAGTCACATGATTGCCCATCGGAATCAACAGACGCGTGTTTCGAAGGCATCAAGAAAACATACACGCGTAACATGCTGAGCATGCGCTGAAGTGAAGTGCAGGTGGAAGTCGGACCACGGCAAGCTTCGACCCTGTTGTGGAGCTAGCCCTTATGCGGGGGCGGAAAACGGACTAACCTTGTTGCCGAGGCGTCATCGTCGCCGGACAGCGATAGTCGCAGCATTGAACACTTGTGAAGGTGCATCGCGGGCCTTGGAGCTAATTCACTGCAGGCGCCTTCAGATCAGAGCCTGCCTGGAGCCATGTCGCGGGAGCAGCACTCCCGATGAGCTGCCCGCATTCTGCAGCCCGCGTCCCCGACCGCGCCCCATCATGTCCTCGAACATCCGCGTCTTCGTGCAATGGAAGAACTCGACCGTATTCGCCGGCGAAGACATTGAGTGCACAATCACCTTCAAGAATACAGCCCTGCCCGAAGGCCGCGACAAGTCGCCCATCCGAAAGGCGAATGGCTTTGCGCCGGGCGGGGAGCGCCAGCGCAAGCTGCCCCCCGTGCACTCGTCGACGCGCCCCTCCGTCTCGCGCAATTCCTCCTTCACGTCTCTCGGCGGGCCAGCACAGCATTTGCGCGGCCACCGCCCGGCCCTGTCGGTGCAGACGGCATCCTCGGTTGGCGACCGCAATCGCTCCCCCCAGCCGTACAGCGCAGCCTTCAACAACGGCAGCGCCACGCCGGCACACAAACACGGTCACGGAAAGTCGCTCTCGATAGTATCCCTAGGCACAGATGCAGCCACAGAAGGCAGCCACGAGCGCCCGGCTCCAGCAGCCCGGCGGCCGATGCGCGCCCATGGCCGGTCCGCAAGCCTTCAGGTGATGCCAGGCCGGCCAAGTCCCTTCCCAGGTACCAATAGCTCTTCCTTCTTCCCGTCACCTGCTGATCGTACTACAGTCACGTCTCCCGGACACCGCTCCGGAAGCCACTATTCTCCACGTTCCGGTGGGGGCTCTCCGCCGACGATCCACGAGCCTTTCCCAAGCGCTTCTTTCCCGCCGCGACCCGTCCGAACACACTCGGGCGCAGCCACCGCCCCAAACACCCCGGCGCTCCGAAGCGGCCCGCGAAAGCCATCCGGCTCATTCTCGCAAAACTTCAAATTCCCCGCGTCCCCCCCGACGAACGACCCCTCGCCAGAGCGTCCCGTTGCGAATGACGTGGAGACGAGCGCCAGGGCGCGGTCTCCTCTTCAACGCGAAACGTCCCATGATGCGCCTGTCGAACCGCTGTCTAAACAACCCACAGAAAACCTCTCTCCAATCGCGCGGATACTGTCTGGCTCCAGTATGAATGGGACACCAAGGAGTAGCGCAGAGTTCTATTCCCAGAGCAACAACTCTACTGAGACGCTAGCATCCGAGTACATAGTGCCGCAGACCGCACGTCTTCTGCCGAGAGTATTCCACCAGCGCCGGCAATCGCAGTTAGTGCCGCCGAACCAAAGGATGCAGCCTGAAGCTTTGATGATGGGCTATGCTCAAGTCATGGGATCTTTCACCTTGGATGGCTCGTTGATCAACCAAGCTCCGTTTGAGGAGGTCAAAAGAAAAGGAGTTGTGGGTGGACAAGGCGGAGGAGGTGTCGTTGGTGTCGAACGCACAAAGCGCGAGAGTGGCTTGTTCGGCGCACTTGGCTGGTCGAACATCGGAGAATCCATAGGAGGATTATTAGGTGCTTCGGAGCCGTCGAGCATCCGAGAAATGAGAGGGCTCGCAAGCTCGAAAACCGTTCCTTTGATCACCACCCCGCAGTCCATTTTGTTTGTCGACCTACAACTAGCTCCCGGCGAAAGCCGCAGCTATACCTACAGTTTCACATTACCTCGGGGCTTGCCTCCTACACACAAAGGAAGGTCGATGAAAGTAGTCTACCACTTGACTATCGGTACTCAACGGCCGGGATCCGCACGCGATCAGCAAGTGAAGCATGTCGAAATACCCTTTCGTGTTTTCGGCAGCGTGAACAGTATGTATATCCTTGCACAAATATAGGTAGTCACTAAGGGAGAGCAGGTCGGGGCGAGATATTAGGGCATGATCTCATGTCCCCGTACATAATCCTCCGAGATCAAGCCAAAACCTCCACTGTTGATCCTGATTCAAGAACTGGTTCCCCAAGCAAGAAGACCTCCACCCAAACGACCCAAGACACAGCCAACTTCAACGACTTCTTAGAATACGTCGACAATCTCCTTGATCGTCCCCGGCAAAATTCTTCCATGGGCCTTCTCTCTCCCACAGAAACCATTCCGGGCCGCTCCTCCCTACCCGATGAACCTCAATCCATGAAAGAAGCCATTGACCTGGCCATCATGCGCAGCAACCTCACTGGTGCCGCAAATCAATCCGCGAACCGCTTCGAAATCGCCCGCAGCGGTCGCCGCGTCGCCGTTATCATGCTAGCGCGCCCAGCATACCGTCTGGGCGAGACCGTATCCGCGGTCATCGATTTTACAAACGCTGATATTCCATGCTACTCGATGCACGTGTCGCTTGAGACGTGCGAGAAAGTCGATCCAGCCATTGCATTAAGAAGTAATGCGTCCATCTACCGCGTCACCCGCAAAGTACACGCTTCCTTCTCCGAGAACGCTCTCTTTGCGCAACGCTTATCCTTCTCACCCACCATCCCTCCGAGCGCGACACCCGAGTTCATCACGAGTGGCGTAAGTCTCGAATGGAAGCTTCGCGTGGAATTCATCACGCCTCGGCTTGTGCACGAGGATGGCGAGCAGGCGTACTGGGATGATCTACTCGAGGAGGTGGAAAGCGGTGACAGGGGCGTCATATTAGCGGCGGCAGAGAGGCTGCCCGCGGAGAGTTTCGAAGTCATGGTGCCAGTGAGGGTGTATGGGGCTGTTAGTAGAGCGGAGGTTGATGAGGATGGCGGCGAGGGGCTGCCTGTGTAGCACAGTTTTGACACCACCTTGTTCGGCTGTTGGCCCCGGTAACGGGCATACTTGGATAGAAGTAAATGCAGACGGAGACATTTTTACCCTGTACATGAGATAAGGGGTAAGCTTGCAATTGAAGGCATATAACATGGTGTGTTGGATTTGATGTTGTATACCATGGGCTAGATAAATTCAGATTCGCACCATCAGTAATGGGTTTTCGATTTTCACTTTCATGAACTTACTGCCCAGGCGCTTCAAGGGTAGTCATATTGGAACAGAAGCGCTGTCTTGTGTACCACGCCATGCCATCATTTCTCTTTCTGCCCATGATCTAGACTGCTTACCTCCGGCCAGTTCTTTGGTAGGTGAGATACTGAGCAGGAGTCAACAGTCGGCAGAATGTACCCGAAGCGTGTAAGACGTTGGGCACGACTTTGCTTGCTTCTGTCACGATATCCTCCTCCAACTGTCGCATGACAAATTTCACAACAGCCTCGTGCTCGGCGCATCCTCATGAGACTTTCAGCAAGCTAGCTCGGAACCTCGAAGGAACACTCTCCCAACCTTATCGCCATCCCCCACTTAACCAAGCCTCGGCTTCCCCGTCGTTTGAGAGGCTGACACTTCTCGCCCCTCGTGCAATTTCCTAACACTGAAATGGAAGACACGGACGGCTGTTTCACATCTCCCACGTGGCAGGGTCACATTCTTCTCGCTGTACCACGCTGGTTGTGCCTCGGCTTCCCGTGGCTGGAGGCGCTGATGTTTCTCTATCTGCAAGGCTTCTCTGCTCGTCACACACGTTCCGTGGGGGCAGCTGAGGAGTTTGGCAGAACCCTAGATCGTGACGAACCTTTCTACGACGAGATAATTCTCCGGTCACCCCACATGTACCGTTGGATTAGACAAATTACAACTTTTGGTGATTGGTGGATACAGGCTTGCTCAGCTGTCAGGGCAAAACACTGCAATATACTTTTGGCTGACGCACCACACTATATGCTGTTTACTCAGTCTCTCGGTAATGGTCTAGATACAAGTGTGTTACGTACATGCATGCGGGGGGTACTATTACGACATCGCCACAGCTATCTGAACTACGAGAGCCACCTTAGCGAAGGTGTTAACACCATGAAAGACGTTGAACTTGTTTGATCAGAAGTCGATTTGTGAGGACAGATCTCGCGTTCCCAAAATGCGACTGCAGAGAACCCTGCCGGCTCTAAAGCCGCAAGAACGACTCCTCGCAGGGTATACCCTTCGCAACCGCATACAGGCAGGTCGTCGGGTGCAACCTCGCGTCAGGAGAATCCTAGAACCTGGATATGCAAGCTATAAATTGGCATTCACGACCGTGATCGCCACGTGGGCGTGATATGACTTGCATGTGCATCTCCTCATCTCCGGCTCCACAGCATCGGCTGGTGCCAACCGCCTGCGCACACTGCGAGATACACGCGACCAAGGGCGTCGAAATATCGCGGGAACGATGGGGGGCGGTTGAGAAGTGCCGTTGCGCTAGTGACGCACCGCTTCATTCGCTCGGTAGACCGTGACCGCGGCTGTCATTGCGGGTAGGCTAGAGACAAGCGGCTCGATGGCGTGTACGCCAGACGAGGAGCGGCGCAATAGACTTTAGGGCTGCTGCCCGAAGAGGGGCAATGCGTCTTAGAACGCTACGCCATCAATTGATTGAGGCGTGGTCAACTTGCCACCGGCGGAAAAAGCGGCAGTGGGAGCTGAACAATGGCTGATGTTGGAGCTGGCGAGCAAACGCAAGCCGAGAAGGAAGGAGGGATCATAAATCGTTACTCGATTGAATAAGCTATCATGCAGGACGCTGCATGTGGGTATCTCAGAAAAAAGTCGCTACTGCCGATGATCAAGCACATCGAAAGGCTGCGTCGCGTTCACGCTGTACGGCTGCCCGGTTCCATCGCTCACACCTGTCCTCACGCTCTGCGTTCGCTGCATTCGCATCGGTTCCCTACTCTCTTTCCCCCGCAACTCGGACAATCCATACACCATCTCCTCGTCCTCTTCTCGCCCATCCTCCCTGACCACCATGTCCATGTCCGTGTTTTTGTCTACAGCGTGTGTCAAGCTGCCCGACCGCCTCGGTCGCGTGTTTGCGTATGTTGCATTGTTCGTCTCGTAGTGGTAGGTGGGGTAGGTTCCGCCGTCGGAGAAGTAGCGTGGTAGCATGTAGGTGAGGAGGCGGCGGAGGGCTGGGGCGCAAGCGGCAATTATGGCGATCGAGGGCTCAGTGACAGAGGATACAACGCCGATGTTGTAGGCCCGGTCCGTGTTGGGAGCATAGCGGTAGTAGTAAACTATCAGTCTGGCGACGGATCCGATGGTTGCAATCCAACCCATGCTCATAACGGCGACAACCGCCATCTTTGTTTTGCGTTTCATTTGGAGGTTCCACACCATGGCGGTGGGAATAGGCATGATGATGAGGTCCATGAAGATACTGAGGGCGCAGCTGGACATGATGAACTGGAGACTGTTGATGCACTTGCCCCCAGCGACCTTGTTGCCATCAGCGTCCGTGTGGTCCATTAGTGGTTGAAGATAAGCGTATCTGATTGGATCGCACTGAAAGATGTTGACAAGAGTAGTTGAGGTGAAATAGCCGACGTTCATCCAGACTGTTTTGCGGGTCAGTGAGCGAGCCGGGAGGTATGAGATGGTGATGCATCCTTACAGACAACATGCAGTGCCCACCGAATATGCCATCGTTGGTCCTTCACGCGGAAAAGAAACATGATGATCGAGGCGCGGATCGCACCCATCATAGGGTGGTAGAACATCTGCACAGCGAAACTCCATTTCCTCGCGTGGACGAGTTGCTCCAGGGTCTGTTTGGGTACCTCGCTCGTGCGATAGCCAGTGTGGCTCACGATGATGTCTGGTCAATATCAGTGACCGGACTTGCAGTCAGAGGCCGCGACGCTTACACTCGTAGATGGTGAGTGTTTGCCCTAGGAGCAAAAGTAACGAGAGGTGTATGAGCCAGTCATCCCACCCAAAGTTCTGCCCCAAATAGCGAGAAAACGTCCTCGCACCAACGAATATCGCAGCGAGAATTGGGAAGACGCACGTCACTGCGAGAGCTCCTGCTTGACGATCCGCACCCATGTCAAAGGGAAGGCGCTGGAAATTCGCAACTGTAGATGGAATTAGGACAGGCTTCATAGTATCCAGCATGTTTGTGTTTGGTACTCACATTGAGATGTTATGCATATGCAGTTCCCGGCTGAAGGTCTTTTACGATCTACTGATATGTCGGAGGAAGTCTAACTAGACGACAAATGTGACATGCTCCATCTTCGGCACCTGAGGGCCTCGATTCTTTAACACAAGTGTGCCTGGAGGTAGCGTGCGGCAGCTGATGCCATCTCGGCACGAAGCAGCAGGCACGTCCCGCTCGTATCGTTTCTGAAATGGGAACTGAAATGTGTTGATCTGACGTCGGGGAAGAACCCGCGACACGGTTCCTGAGTCGTTACGCCCCATTGAGTTTATGCCCATGACAAAGATGGCTAGCGCATGCTCTTAGCGGCTCAGGACCAAGTTTTCTCCTTCTGTCATTATGGTGAAACGCCACGCGCGATGTTTTCCACCGCGGCACGCGTACGCTGCCGAGTCCGCGCGCTTACCGGTAGCAGATAGTAAACGTACAAACCTCCGAGCGTAACCCGCGGTGGCAGCTGTGCCTCGCAGGCTTCTAGTCCACACCGCTGTAGTGCGGCTGCTCGACGCCTCTACAAACGCCTCAAGCGGGGTTGCATGCATCCACGGTGATTATCTTCCTCTAATGCCACTCGCGCCGGGTCGCCCCTTTCGGGAGAACGAGTGCTTTGGCCACTTGGGCTGAAATGGGGCTGTTTGTAGAAAAGATCGTCAAATTGAAGAGATGCGGACAGGGAGCGCATTGGCCCGCATTGACTGCACCGAGTCACGTCGGTTCATTGACGCCGTACAACGTGCTGCGATCAGCTCTTCCGCTGCCTTTGCTAGACGTCGAGGATCTTCCCGTTGCATCCACCTGCTCCTTTGCAGAGGATATTACCTGGGTGTTCCTCGACAATTTCAAAGGGTAGACTGCCGGCAGCATTCACTCCTTTCGCTGAGGCTCGTCATTCGAGATAGGGACACGAAACTCTCACAATGGGTCGACAACAAGGCAATGGTTCGAAACCCGCGAGGCTTTTGGCCCTCCTTGCAACCTCAGCAATCGCAACTCCCATTATTTCGCCTGCCAGTTGGGATGTCGGCAGTCTTTTTCTCTCAAAGACAGCGCCGAACAATACCTCGTCGAGATGCAAAGTCTATCCGGGCGACCAAAATTGGCCTTCAGATGAGGCCTGGGCCAATCTAAACAAGCTGGTAGACAATCGCTTGCTAGACCGACCAGAACCTTTGGCCTCGGTCTGTTACAACGGACCGCTTTATGATGCAGAGGAATGCGTCAAGGTGACCGCCCACTGGAACGAATCTTACTCACACTTCGACAACGCTGTTGAAATGATGAGTCCCGTGGCGCAAGGCATGACATGTCTTCCACCAAACATATTCGACTCTTCCAACTGCACCAGGGGCGGTTTTCCGATGTATGTCATCAACGCAACAAAGCCGGAACATGTTCAGATGGGAGTCAATTTTGCCCGGAACACTGGAGTCAGATTGGTCGTCAAGAACACCGGGCATGATTTCTTGGGTAAGTAGACCCTTCACTAAAAAGAGTATACCTAAAAGAAATCAGGGAGGTCTGGTGGCAAGGACGCGCTGAGCATCTGGACACGTTACTTCAAGGATATTGAGTATATCGAAGAGTATGTAGACGCAAAAACTGGCTATTCGGGACCGGCTTTCAAGGCTGGAGTCGGTGTGCAAGCTTTTGAGATCTACAAGGCTGCTCACGAGAAGGGACACTCCGTTGTCGGCGGCGAGGGCGAGACTGTCGGTATCTTTGGAGGATATATCCAGGGTGGCGGTCACTCGCCACTCACTTCCCTGTGAGTCCGATGCCTATCCCTCAGAGTCGATTTCACTAATATGGCCTAGTTACGGCACAGGTGCAGACCAGGTTCTCTCGATGGAAGTTGTCACCGCAGATGGCGACTACGTTACAGCGAACTCTACATCTAATACTGAACTTTTCTGGGCAATGCGCGGTGGGGGTGGCTCAACGTTTGGTATTGCGACTTCAGTAACAGTCAAAGCTCACCCCGATTTCCCCACGACGGCATCGCGCTTCTCGTTCACCTCCGAAAAGGTCGGCAACGAGACATTCTGGGCCGCGATCCGCGATTACGTCGATTACTTCATTCCCAATGCTGATGCTGGCACTTACGCATACTGGACGCTTATCCCCAACGTCTGGACCGGCATCTTCAGCTTCGGCATGTCCCCTTTCTTCGCCCCAAACAAAACGCTTGAGGAAACCCAGGCCCTGCTCCAACCCTGGCTCACCCGCTTGGAGGAACTCGGCATCAATGTCAACCCCAACATCACTCATTTCAACTCCTACTACGAAGCCTGGCGAAGCTCCTTCCCGCTCGAAACTGTTGGCAAAATCAATGCAACGACTGCCTCTCGCATGTTCCCTCGCTGCAACTTCGAAACTAAGGAAAAGCGCGATGAACTCTTCCAAAACTTGCGCCAATCGAGCGAGAACAACCGTGTGCAAGTACACTTCAACATCAAGGCCGTTGATCCAGCGAATTCTGACAACGCTGTGAACCCAGCATGGCGTGAAAACATACTCTTCGCTCAGCAAGCCGTGCGATGGAACCCCAACGGCACCGCGGCCGAAACGCTGAAAGCTCGACAAGAATTCCAGAGAGGTGACATGCAGCGCTGGAGAGACATCAGCCCTGGTGCTGGGTCGTATCTCGCTGAAGCGGATCGTCTGGAACCAAACTTTGGACAAGCGTTCTGGGGCGATAAATACCCGCGTCTGCTTGAGATCAAGGCCAAGCTAGATCCTCATGATGTCTTCTTTGCTACCACAAGCGTGGGAAGTGAGAGGTGGAAGGTTGAAAGCGTTGATGGGTTGCCGAATGAGAATGGCAAGCTCTGTCGCGTTGAGAACTAAGCTCCTAGTCGCTTTACGTCTACATTCCCTACACCATCTTTTCGATTATTCTCTGTATATACCTTGCGGTCGTGCTCTATGAGCAGATAGGGGCAACGCGTCCACCTCTAATTTCTATTGAGAGCACACGCCTTCCGGTTGTGTTTCTTTTCTCCCTTGCCAGACCTGAAGGGACCGTCGAATGCATACATAACGCGCGGTCAATAATCATCGACGTCTTCAAGCCTGTGCCAAATGAACAAACTTCAGACCCCCTCGCAGAACTTAGCCTTTCTCTTCCCGGTGATGCTGCAGGCCAATGCAAAGCTATTCAGTGTGCAATCAGCAAATTGTTCGCGATTTACTCTGACACACATCTACGATTTTCGTCACTCAGTCTGATGACGCACTGGGCCTGCTTTGTTCATCCGACATAGCCACTTCCATATAGCGACCAACATTTATGCAGATGAGATGCATGTGCGGTAACGGCAATATGTATTTCTCTCCATGCGTAATGAGACTTAACTTCAACTGGGCGTGACAAATGAACCTTAGAAAGAGAGGGTTCGACAAAGACCCTCCATATCCAGGAATAACCCAAGACCGAGCAGGAGCTAGCCGCCAGAAGTTTAATGATCTGCCTCCTCATTTCCCCACCTTGCACTTGTTCTAGAATACTGTGAAGCTGACTAGGTTCAGAACCAGTGTTTTTCAACCCCAGGTAGAGGGGATATCTCGAGAATCTACGACTTAGGGTTGGTTGGATTGATCGGGGGGCTTCTTCTGTGTCGTGGCTAAAGATGATGCTGAAGGCTTCGCTTTTGACTTGTTCTGGGTGCCAGATGAAGGCTGAGGGAAGGAATCGGCCTGATAAGTCTCGTCATTCGCGCGAGACGATGCATGAGCCGTCAAGCCATGGTGATAGTACTTGGGATCCTGGGCCTAATTGCTGTTAAGTGCGAGCCTTCCAAGACTGCCAGTCGTAGCGTTCGCCTTGTAGAGATCCTAAAGGATCAGTATTGTACACTTTCACAGCAGCTTATAAGTACATACATAGTCCGGGTCCTTGTTCTTCGGTTCCCTCTTCTTCGGTACTTCTTCTTGGCCATGATGATGGTTGACTCGGTGGTGTAATTGACAAAGCAAGGGGGGATATATTGACTTGTAGACTTTGGTATTAGTATTTTTCAGGAGGGGTTTGAATTCTATGACAATTATCTTGGATTGTCCCAAGTTATAATGGGAATGTAGCCAATTTATATCCTGATATTCTACAGGAGTTCATGACAAGACACTGGGATTGTGAGACCTCAGGTCCCAGATTGGCTGTGCGAAACACTTCTGTGCGCTCATAGAGCCTTTATAGAGAACATTCTAGCAACAGTCTCTAGATATAGTCTTAGACATCTGCATTTCTCAAGTGCGTGTTTCAAACTGAAGAATAATACGATACGCGCCCAACAAGTGTTGGCGAAGAGGAATCTACGTGCGGACCCTATATTTGTGCTGCATTCTTCAACAAGTTCAAAACAGGAAGATGAGCCTCCAGACCTGGAATGGCGAGCGCCCGTTTAATTTGGATGTGCTGTGACCGTGAGCCTGACCGACCATGGCATTATCTGCGCCACAGTTAAAATGCTCTTGTTAAGCCGTTCTCCAAGGACAGCTCACACTCACTGGCCTTATCTTTCCGCCACTAGCAAAATTATTGTTGCTTATCCTTGGGAATCGAAGATTGGACAAAGTATGTCGTTCCATCAGTCTCGCATAGAACTATTCGATAGGCGCATACATGTGCAGTGAAGCGACTCGTTATATCCATGCGCAGAACGTGTCAGATGTTAGGATAGTAAGTGCTTCAGTATGTCGTTGGTCTTCAACCTGGTGAAAGAACTCCAACGTTGCCCTTGTAGGCCGTATGGCAGCTTCTCGGCTAACCGGAAAGGTGTTAATGTCTTCACTAATCTGGCAAGCGACTCTCACTCACACTCCACCTGCCAGTGACCTTGCAAACAACCCCTGAGGTTGATCAAGCGCAATCAACGACAAACGACGCACTTACACTTACATATAACTTCGCAACGACGGCAACTCAGTTGTCATTCACGCTGTCGCCCGCTAGTCCAGCCATGAAAGACGATCCGATGCAATAGTGCGTACTCGAGGGTAGAGGGACAGAGACCGAAGCTAAAAACGGTACAGTGAGCGTATCGACGCAAAGATGATGTGCCAGAAGCTTCCTCGAGAGCTCCGCGATTTGGCATACATGCATTTCTGGGCCCAAGAAGACACCATGTGCGAATGGCTCCGCGTGTGGTACCCCTCACTACTACTCGGCCGCACTACACATACTCCCTACGATGAGTTATGTACGGGTATTCGCTCGCTCGATGTTCCAGTTGCTGCCGAATTAGTCCAGTGGTACTACGAAAACCGTGGCGCAGACCTTGGAATCGGCCAATCAATTGAGAGGCCCTTGTGGTTCCCTGGAGGTATACGTACCGGTAGCAAGTGGCTCCTCGAAGCGCTCGACTTACAAGACCTCCCCAAATTCATGACCACGGACGTCTTCGGCGCGGGTGTCACTCCTGCCGACTGCAAGTTGCGTGCCCTTACAGCCCGTATCGACCTGAGCGACTACATACATGTGGCACAGTCGATCCAGATCGACAGACTGCTTGAGCCTATGCGCACGCAGCACAAGTCGGAGGGGTTCACGCTTTGTGTTAACGTGGTGGGATGGTGGACTGATGACTTCCCCTTCGACCTCATCTCTGGTCTTGGAAGCAAGCTTGGAGAAGTTTTTGAGAAGCTTGCGGAAGGGAACGTGACAGCATCAGCACGGATCATGCTGGTCCAATATGTACCCGAAGGCGAAGGCTCCAAAGTGAACATTATCGAGGGTGTTGGAAACATGCTGGGAGCTTCCGAGGATGTCTGGGAAGAGTTCTTGAAGGAAAAACTGGGAAGAACCTCGCGCAGGCATTAAGACGACAGCTAAATTTCCCTGAGCATCATACAGCAACTCTACTCATGCATTCGGACCTTCATGGCATGCTGGTGCAACTGTCAAGCGGTGAGCCATAGCAAAGGAAACCGAAGCATAGGACAGAATGCGGCCCAAGCGATCAAGCCGAGGCGCATCCTCCCCGCAAACCAATCCCCGCGCCTAACCGCGCAAGCGCACACCACCTCACGTTCCCCCAGCTCCGTTCACTTTGACTGCAAAACCCAAACATGTCTTCGAGATTTGCTTGCTTACGCACTGCGCGTTTGGCTGCGCGATACCCGCTGCGGCGAAGATATGCAACAACTGCATCCGACTTCGTGCGCATCGTGGAGGTCGGCCCACGCGACGGGTTACAGAACGAGAAGCAGAGCATACCAGTCGCTACCAAGATCGAGCTTATCAACAAGCTGGCCCAGACTGGATTGAAAACAATTGAAGCTGGATCCTTCGTATCGCCCAAATGGACACCGCAGGTAAGAGCATTCCTACGTCGTCGTGCCTTCCTTACAGTTGCGCGCTCTCTACCTGCCGGCGTAGCAGCACTCGAAGTTTAGAGGAGCTGACACAATCTGAATAGATGGCAAATTCGTCCCAAATCCTCGAACATATTCTCAAGACCCCGCCCGCAGCTTCACATCCCATCACGTACCAATGGCTCCTTCCGAACGTCAAAGGCCTGGACAATTTCCTGTCTATATGGCAAGCTAAGGCGGGGGGAAATAACGAATACCCTACACCTCCGCCATCCCCTGGCGGCGATGCGGCATCTGGCGCGGGAGCGAACATTCACGAAATTTCCATATTCACTGCTGCGACTGAGACGTTTACCCAGAAGAACACAAACTGTTCGATAGCAGAATCTCTGCAGAGATTCGAGCCCATTATGGCACGAGCGAAGGAAGCCGGTCTCAACGTACGGGCCTACATTTCAGTCGCTCTCGGCTGCCCCTATGAAGGACCAAATGTCAACCCGCACAAAGTTGCCGAACTCGCCGTGAGCCTTTTGGAGATGGGCGCAGATGAGATATCAGTAGCTGACACCACGGGCATGGGGACCGCGCCGAAGACTGCGGAGCTCCTCAAGACGCTCAGTGCAGCTGGTATTGAGAAGAGTGACCTGGCCCTGCATTTCCACGACACATATGGACAGGCATTGGTCAACTCTCTTGTCTCGCTTGAGCATGGTATTCGCACATTTGACTCCGCGGTTGCCGGTCTCGGCGGCTGCCCCTTTAGCCCTGGTGCGACAGGAAACGTTGCTAGCGAAGATTTGGTCCACTGCTTCCACAGCTTGGGCTTGAAGACCGGGGTTGATATCGAGAAGTTGTCAGAGGTCGGAGAGTGGATCTCATATGAGATCGGGCGCCCGAACGAGAGCAGGGCAGGAAAGGCCACCATGGCACAGGCAAGGAAAAGGGTGGCGTAGGTACTGTAAGAGTATCATAACACTAGTAACATATATGCAGCCGTTACACAGTCGAGTTCAGATTTGCCATCTGCAAATTGTACCAGTAAGGAATAGCTGCACATCTATTACCACTTGAACGTTGACCCGGGATGGTCCTCTCGCAGCCGCCCTTCAGAGTCTCAACCCTGTTGATTAGCTGTTCGCAGTGACCATGCATCTTCAATTCGTTGTTGTGTGAGGTTTGAGAAATCTGTTTCTATACATGCGTATCAACACTTTGCTGCGAAATGAATTTGCTGGCTCGCTTACCGCAATTTTGAGGCGCTCTCGTGGAGAATTCCTGTTGATAGGTGGTGGCCTGACAGTCTCAGGCAGTCCTCCGCGTGCACCAATGCGCGCCACCTGCTTTGTTCTAGCCATTGAGGGGTCGCTACTTGGATGTGAAAAGTCGCGAAGTGGAACTGTAGGAAATGAAGTGGAAATGGTGACAGTATCTGGACAATTATGAGACAAGAAACCCAGAAAGTGCTGCAAACGCTCAGTAGACTGATTCGTTTGCTTTCCAAGCGAAAGCAAGGAGAGTGAGATTGAAGATGATCAAATTCGCAAGTACTGAATTAACTTTTCCGCCGGTCTGGCCCCGGGCAAACGCCTCCACCTTCACCATTGTTTTCTGAGTTGCTCCATGGGGCTCGACGTTTCAGCATCAAGAGAAAAACATCATGTAGAGCGCTCTTGAATACAAATTAGCGAACAGCGCCTGACAGGGCCCCTCCTTGTCTCCTCTGAGCAAGCTGTACAGCTCTTCTGAGTTCATTCTCACAAGCATACTTGAAGGGGTTTCTCAGTTGTCTCAACCGTCCAACTTTATAGGACCATCCCTTGTACCTTCATGCACCTTGCCGTTTCTAACACTACTAATCGTTTTAGCCATGCTCGACCAATGCTTCTTGATCTTGAGAACCTGCCTCAACACGTCTTGGCCCTGCTTGGCTTTGGCCTTCTCGTCGGCGAGCCGTCGCTGGAGTTTGGCGATCCGACTCGCTTGAGTTATTGATTAGCTTCAAGACGAGAAATGGTGTCCCGCAACTGAGTGGTCTCCTGTCTTGATGACTCGAGATCAACGCGGCTCGCTTCACGCTCGTGTTAGAGCCAAGAGGCGGAAACGCCCAACAGCTGATTTCCGACTCATAATTTGGCCGTCATCTCCTGGAGTCGCTTGCACTCCGCGCTCTCAGATGCCAGGTCGTTCCGAACATCCTCGAATTCCAACTGCAATCTTGTAGCAGATTCGCGCAGCACTTTTTTCTCAACATGCGCGTCCGCCACAAGCTCCTACAGATGTTCGCAATGTCGTGCCTGCAAGACAAGCTGCTCTTGTAGCTTATCGCATTCGTTGTTCTAAGACACGAGTTGTCCTTTAACAGCGGTGATGATGGTCCGCTGCAGAAAGCTTCCTGGACAGTGCAGTATGCAAGTTGTGCGCTTGTTGCTAACCACCCACACTAGTATCTTCTTGTCTGGCAACAAGCTATCGAGGAACTTACCGCTTGTTGTTTCCAGTCGTCCGAAAGCTGTGTAGGGCGTGGCTCATGGACACCCTTGCTCTTATTGCCTTGGTGTCGAGGTGGCTGGGGTGACCGTGCCATAGTTTCGAATTAAGAACGCAGTTGGTAGGTGTAGATACAGAGTGCGAGGGAAAGATGCGGGAGTACAGCGACACTAGTATGCTTGCCTATTCCGTTTGCACGATATGCTTTCGACAGTGTGAGTCAGTCAGGTACTGACACAAGGTACACAAATTGTCTGAGTGAATCGTTCCCGCGGCAACGAGCTCACTGAACGTGGAATCAGTCCCCCTTATCTCCGTCGTTCAAGCTCTCGGATCAGTCGCAGTTTATAGCGTCTTATGGCATGCTTCTGCATACTGACTGGTAGATCGCATTCCGGCATACTCCTGTCGACTTCCTGTGAGACAGACTTACAACTCCAACAGAGTCAACATGCTCAGCTTCTCGCTTGCCAGGCGAAGAGCCAATATGTGGGGGATAGCTGGGCAGTTTTCGCACAGGTAGAGACTATCATTACTAATGGCATATCCATCATCACTTCTTGTGTGACCTTCGGACCCATACGAAGGTTTCAAACCTTGTGGTCATCCTCAAAGTCGACCTGGACATGGGTGGCTTTGGTAATACCACCCATGAACCTGGGCTCCGTTATGGGACTCTGGTCCTCAAGGGCAAATTCCTCGCTCTCCACGTTGACGATCTTGCGCTCCGACTCTGAGCAAGAAATGTAACCAGTCTCCTTCCTGCTAATTGCAGTACCACCAATCGTGAGAGTTGCTCTGGAGACATGGCCAGATCTGCGTGCGCTGAAAAAGCTTGTCTTCCAGCTGAACTTACTGGCGGCGACTCGGTACAGTGGGCGTAAGGTAGGTAGCGAGCCAGCAGTGATAGCTAGACTCATCTCTATCTCGGACCATATGGCGATGGGTACGGTTGCGTAGAGAAATTCGGGGTCCCTAAAGGTTGGGACGTAGGCTAGGCGGACGATCACGGCTGAGCTTGCACTGTCAAAGGTATCAGCGGCAGTTAGAGACATGGGGGTCCAGAGTACTTACACGCATGCCATGCTCAGAATAGGAATGAGAGCGAACTTCTGATTCCGGCTCATATTTAGGCCTTTGATCAGGAAGACCGGGAGGATCGCGAAGGTAAAGTCGCAGACTGCGAAGATAGCGGACATCACATATGTGAAAGCTATGATGATGTCCATGCTGATGCATGTCCCTTTCTCTCCAAGTGCTCTGGTCCAGAAGAACTGAACAGGTTTGCACTGAAATGTTGCGAGGAGGCCGTAGATTAGACCCATTACGACGCTGGTGTAGATGACGGCGTGGGTGATTATGCGAAACATTTTCTGGGTCGTTGGCGTGTAACGGAGGAGTGACAAGCCAACAGAGACTTTGGCACCAATCATGCAAAGGCAGTATGAGAAGTAACAAATCCACCAGAACTGGGAACAAGTGTTAGTAGAGGCTCGTCGCCAGTGGCTTCGAGAGAGCTTCAACGTACTCTTAATGCCATCATCATACCATCAGGTTTGAGATCCTTTGTAAGTCTGCCAGTGCCTGTCAGGGCACCGCCGATAGCGCACGTAGCGTTCATAGTGTGCATGAGCTGAGCGAAGAGCATCCATCCATCGTCCCAGCCGAAAGCTCTGATGAGAAACACCCGCACGTAGAGTCGCAATGCTGTAGCTATCCACGCTATAGAGACGAAGAACCCCACGATCTATCCATACAGGTTAGATAAGCATGAGCTGGTCAGTTGTCGGACATACCTGGATGAGCTCGTCAGCGCGATGTCCAATGCCCATGGTCGTTTTGCTGGATGTGTAACGAGTGACTACAAAATGGGGCGACGGAGAACAGCTCCTATTAAATGAGTAGCTTTGTATGCTATGGATGCCATGTAGCCTTATAATCTAGGACATAGGGCTGAAGAGCTCGGTAGTGTGCCCCCGATGCAGGGCATAGCGCAGACCATTTGCTAGCCCCGGTCCACATTTTTGCACTACCATGGAAAAGGAGCCGAGGCCCAATGCGTCAGATTTTGCGGAAAGCAAATCGTAGCTTCCTGTCAACATGTTCCTCTAGCCGACAGAGCCCGAGTTGGCAAGCGTAGCCGATGATCGATGAATGGAGCGACTCGATCTTGTCTTCCGACCACATTAGCGTTGTCAGGTTAGGAGAAGATCTCCTGTGCACTTCTCATCGAGCCCATATCTTTGCACACTATACGCTTTGGGCAGAGGTGATGTGTGAACGATGTGTCTGCTCATATCTTCTTGAAATTACGCTCGGGCATCAATGCGAGCCGCTCCCACCGACCGATGCAGGTACCGAAGCTGTAGCCAAAACTCTATGTTGCGCCCCATATAAATCATGACTCGAGGTCCTGGTGAATATCATCGATCAAAAAAATTGTAGCGAATCCAAGCGCCCTGTGCGTGCAATTGCGTCCTACTACACGCCTACACCTGATCGTATCATCGCCGCTCCCGAAGTCGTCCCTCGATCCAGTCGTGGCTTCTTGGCTTCTTTCTATGTGAAATGTCTCATGTTCAAGCTTCCCGGCTTTACCAAGGGTCTACCCCGCAGCATCTATGGTTCGTCGATCTACGGTACATTGCGACCAGAGGCCTCAACCCTCAATGCCCCACTCGAAAACGTGGCTCGCTTCGGCACTAAGCATATCGGCAAATGAGCAACACGATCTAGCCGCAATTCTTCCCGCAATAGGGAGGGAGTTGAGGCTCCAGCTACGAGAAAGAGGCGCCTCAGATTGGCTCGATTAGTGCGCTTCGGAGCTGGCTCCGATGGTGGTCGGCGAGCACCAGATGAAAGCATGGAGCAAGGCTGTCTGTCTCAGCGGGGAACGGAGCTTTGAGAGGGGTTGCGCTTTTGTTTATGCGTCTGCTGAGTCGATCCTAACCTCGACTGCCCAAACAGAGTTATAGTACACTATTATACAAATGACATGGTGGCAGCAGTCCTCATACACCGTACCTGAACTCTCGCACCTTCTTCTGGTAATAGTAGGTAGCAAGTAAGCCTGTAGCGCCAAGTGCTATCGGCACGGGCGCTCGACCTCCTGTCTTAATAATTCTTGGGACAGCTGATCCGAGCAAAACGAGGCTGTTTCCTAGCGCAAGCTCTGTACCATAATCCTTGTTTTCTTTGATTCGATAGCCTGGAGCAAAGTCAATGAAGTTGTGCAGTGCTCTCTGTTTGGAGGGTACCTACCAGCGTATCCGTATGAGGCGCCGAGCACGAGACCTGCAACGAGGGATGGTGTTGAGCGTGTGCGGAGGTATCCGGCCGTTCCGCCAACCGAAACTGCAACGATTGTCAATGTTACGATCACGAGATCTCCTGTGCCATGGCTTGCTTACGGAGCCCAGCGAGCGTGAAAGATGGGTGTTCAGCCATTGCTTTGATGGTATGAGATCGATTGTTGATGTAACTGCAGAGGAGACGATTGACGAGGATGTGCTGAGGAAATGCATTAGTCAGCGACGCGTGCCTGCCGCGGCCTCACAAAGCGTGAACGTGATGCCCAGGATTCTACGTTTCATTTCAGAAGTAAAAAAAACCCGGCATTACGGAGTAGATGTCACACAGGTGCATTTAGCAATCATTATGCTCGCCGTGCATACTCGAATCAAGCACCGCCAAAGAAGATAGAACTGACCAGGTCCACCGAAATTACCGATGCTTCTTGCGAAGAAATTCACGACCATCACGTCGCCGCAGATGTCAAAATCGAGCTAACTCTCACCCGTAATTGTATAGTGTCATATGAGCAGTTCCTTGACCGGAAATACACGTCTTCGACTGCAGTAGGACGCGCAGATTATGAAGCTTCTGAATCCATCTATTGCACCGCCGCTCACGTTGACCAGGTAGAAGACCAATAGAAGACCGTGTATATGAGGCACGGATGGACCAAAAATTGATACCGTACATACGGGTCACCAGCGTGGGGCAAGAAGCTTCACTCGTGTTTTCGATCTTCATTCACAGACTCTTATGGCTCGCCCAAGGCGACGTACCTCCATCAATCTTCCGTATTTGGCAACTTCAACGTCCTCTATTCGACATCGTGGACACCCTCGATCACGGTGCAAGCTGACTTAAACTTCAACCTTCCATATTCGCATATAAGACATCCTTGGATCATGGTGTAAGCTGGATCTGGAGAGGCAGCTTACACCGTCTTCAAAATCTATCATAAATACCCAATATGGTTCACTCAACCACTCCTGCTCGTTGAGAGGTTGGTTGCCACAACGCAATCGACGACTTTCCAATCTCTACCGTTTCCAGAAGTTTAGGGTTGTGGATAGACAGGCACATCCTTGCTTAATCTACCAATCAGCACCCTGCATGTTTGCAAACTAGCATGTTAAGCACCCTGGAAACTCCGAGACCTGCGTTGAGAGTGGCTTGAGTTGGAAAGTCGTCCAATCAAAGGCACTTGGATAGGACTCATGAAGGTATGCTCAAGCGCTCGAGCATCGACGGTTTTCCGGGCACTGCCCTCCTAGGAAGTTCGCACCTGACGGCTACAAGGATGCCCTAGCGCTTTCCGCTTGACCGTCATAGTGTCCATATACGCTTCCCGAAACTGACTTTGACTGAAAGTTGATCAAATCAGAGCAAAGGGCTGCAAAAGCGACAAGGATTTCCCACGTGGGTGCGAGAGGCTTCAGGGGAATCGATGGGTTCTTCCAGATTGCTGTCTTGGGAGGTGTTGAGTCGCCAGCTCCAAAAGCCCTTGAAGATGATGGCACAGCACAGAATACGGCTCAGTCAATTTATAATCATGAGGGCAAGCCCAGTGTCGCTAACGTGATTCCCCGTAGGTATTCTTCGCGTGGGATACACTCTACGCATACGCCTGTTTTGCCAAGAAGCCATCATAAATGTCTTACTACCTCAGCGGAAAATCACTCAGCTCATCGCACAAGATTGCAGATATCATGATATTTCTTCTACATCCGCTCCGTGGACATCATATCCCCTTAACCCGCACTTTCTCATCCCGAGTTCCTTCTTGTCCCTCGCTCGATAACATTAACAAGCCATCGAGCGCATGCGTGGTTCCCATAGCTCATCCACCGCCCGAAATACCCCATCCCACCCAGAAGACCCAGAAGACCCAGAAGACCCAGTAAAACATCCTTTTTATCCAACATATGCAGTGAAGTACGCGCAAAGCAAAGTAAGAAGGCCGCCGGAGCTTACGGTTCGCACATACGTGCAACCACTGCAGCGAATGGAGAAGAACATTATAATTCGTAATGTAGGACTTGGTCAGCGCCTGTCCAACCGCCAAGAAGCCAAAAACAGAGCTCCATCCAATTTTATACAGCGATGCATATGAGAAGGCCGTGATATACATTGGCGCCGTAAATAATTGCAATAGGGTCGCCAGCAATATAACCATCCCAGTGTAGATAAGACAGGTATTGTTTGTCTCGTAGAGGAGGTGCATGTGAAAGAAAGTCGAAGCGAATGGAAGTGATAGCCGGCAGCAATTCCAAACGCATGTGCAAGTACTAATTACTTAGGTCGTAGGTAGACGCCAGACACCGATGCAAATGCAGCAAAATCCGATCTTTCCGATGCGCTATTGGAAGCGCGACATCGCTTCAGGTGGGCTAACGTGAAAACGCGTGCATTACGTGTTGCGGCGGTAGTCCAATAGGGTCGTGTTCATGGGCGCGTTCAGCTAAGGGAGTATAGTTTTGGTAGAACACTTTCTCTTCCAGTTGCCGGCTCATCAGCTCTTGCAACCGTTCATGAACGAGTTCTTGGGCCAGTCGTACTTGGTTCCCTTCCAGTCCGTCAGGTTGGGGTTGGCGTATGGCTCGGGATGTTTCCTGATATACTCCGTTGTGGGGTAATCCTTCGGATCACAGGTAAGAGCCTGGGTGTCATCATCCGGATCCTGGTAGATACGAATGTAGTCGATTCGCATGGTAGCAGGCAAGAATTTCGCAAGCTCCTCGAGATTGATGGCGGCAAATGAGTGGGACATGCCCAAGTTGGCGATGATAGACATGGGTTCCTCGGGGATCTTGCGCTGGCCAATGTTGCCGTTGGGCCCGATGGATGCGGCTTGCAAACTCCAAGTAGGCGAGTCGCCGACATACCAGGTAATGAAGCCATCATCGCCGGTCGTGTACTCGAACGCATACTTCTGGTATGCCTTGCCATTGTACCAGTCGTTATTCAGGTTAGAGAGACCTGAGAAAGCTTCTTGGAAAGGACCACCCTTGTAGGCATTCATCTCGGTAATGCGCTGATCATAGACCTCGACGAAATCTGAAAACATTAGCAGCTGCGTCGAAATACTATGCTGAAAAGGACTCACCGTAGTTTGGCTGATACCAGATATCGAAGGGGGCGATCTGAAGCGACTGAGACACTGAACCGACAGGATTCGTCTGGCCAGGGCCCAGGAAAACGACTGAGCCTTCCAGGGCATCGATTTCGGGAGCACTTCGCGATTTACCAGGATTGGGATGATCCTCTCCAGCGCAGGTACACGCGGGTAGTCGCATTCCTGGGAGGTAGCTGAGACCGTCGTATGAACTCTGGTTGGGTGTGATACCAACGTCACACTCGTCGTGGTAACTGTAGGGCCAGAGACCTTCAGTCGTACCTAGATAGCCAGGGCGCGCTAGGTTTCCCATCGTCCAGAAGCCGGGCCAGAAACCACTGACTTCGCCACTGCCAGCTAACGAGATACTAGCTTCCAGGTGGCCTCCCTTGTAGCAGAGCTTGTTCCACGATTGAACCATGCCGGAGCGATAGTTGAGGCCGTGATTCGCGTAGTTGGCGAACTCGAGGTTGAGCGTGCCATTGCTGGTGGAGACTGCGTCTGGTTCGTACCACTGAAAGACTGTTAAAAGGCTGGTCTCAGCTTACGCACGCAGAGACTCACCTCGAGATCCTGGGTCGCGCCATACCAGATGTCGACAGCTTGGAAATACGGATCATCACCATCGTAAAATGTGCGACCTTCATCATTGAACTCGTCTGAGAATACGAGCTTTTGAGTTTTGCCGTTGGCGGACTTTCTTGTCTTTGCCGATTCGGGAGTATCTTTGTCAATGAGATCTTTACGTATATTCTGTAATAACGGCTCGTTTTCTTTTCCAAGAATGCAGAGCGGGTTATTTGTGCACGGTGTCTTTTCAGGCGCAGTGATGTTGTGGACAAAGGTCCTAACCAATGTCAGCCCCAGTCGTTGCGCAGCTCTTAGGAATACGTACAGTATAGGATACCCGATGAACAATACGAGCAATCCTAGGGTAAGGACCACTAGTGCGCCAACGTTGACGATTCCTCTTTTCGTGAAAACGTCGCAGTCTCGCTCGTTCTTTTCGTTCGGATCGGGATTGTGCAACCAGTCGTCCTTTTCCACATCTTCTGGGAACAGCAGCAGCCCTGCAGAGGGCGTTATGTTGAATTTCTCCGATACAGTCTGCGTGTTCAGGTCCTCCTCGCTCCCCGCCCGCGAGGGTGCTCTCGAATCGTCGAAGGGCGAGGCGAACGGGCTGTATCTGGAGTCGCGGCTGGCCACAGAATCAGTGTCCCAGCTCGTTCTCCGCGACATGGGCGCGGCGGGCGATTCGTCTCGGAAGGGCCGTGTTCTTGACTTCTTGGGCGGCAGGAGGTGCTCCGCGGACGCTGCTACCGTCTCATTCTTGTACAGCGAGGGTACTGACGGTGATCGTAGTCCGGGACTCGCGGGCCCCGGGGCAGTGCCAGGGCGGATGGGCTGGGTCAACGAGCGGGCCGAGTTTTGGCGGGCGGTGCTCGGGCGCTGTGCGGAGGGCTCGTCGAGGATGTCTGCAGTGCCCGAGTTGAGGCGGATGTGCGGGTTGTCCCGCGGCGATAGCGGCGATGCCATGGTGAGCGAATGTATAGGGTGAGTATGCTGTTAGGCGACTACTGGGAGGAAGCCAGGGCGGCTGATCGGCTGTTGGGGTAGCGAGTGTTGTATTTTGCTGAGGCACGCAGAGGGCGAATTCCAGGCGGGATAGGGTAGCCCAGGGCGACCGTGGAATGCCTCGCCGAAAGTGACGCACGCACGCAGCCTGCGGTCAAAAGCTGCTTTCGTATTGCTACTGGTGGAGGAGCGCGTGAATGGGGCCGAGAGGCGCGCTGGATGAGTGTGACTGCACACAGGAGACGCCGGACGCTGTTGACGTATTGGGCGGCTGTGGGCTGGGTGGGCCACGCGGTGAAGGCAAGCTGGAGAGGCCGGAAAGCGAGTGTGGGAGGCTGCAGCAGGCGCTGGAAACGAGTGAATGCGACGCAGCAACGGCCGGGTTAGAACAGTGGCAAGCAGGTAGAGAGGCGCCGATGGCAGGTTGGATGAGCACTTCCAAGGCTGGCCCTTCTCCTTGGGGCACCCTAGTCTATCTCACAGGCCTCCTGGGAGATCTGGAAGCATGGCCGAAGGCGCGCCAATCACGACAGGTAATGGGCCGGCCCCTGGTGCGGCTTACGCAGGCGGCGCTCCACCGTCTGGCGGCCGACTAAAATTATCCGCGGCCAGGAAGCTGTCAACGAAAAGCCCGTTTCATTCATGCCGCTGCGCGAGCGTTGAGCAGCCGGCAGCGGCCGCGCGCTGCCAAACCAAACGCGCACGCTGGACGCTGGCATAGGGACGCCGAGCCCGAGTATTGTCCCGGCTGTTTCTCAATCAATAAAACCCGTCGCCGTGCGCGAACCCAGATGCATCCATGTCTTCATGCGGCGGGCGCGCCATCCGCCAGCCTCGTCGACGCCACCCGCGTGCGCCTCCGTAGTCGCCGCGATAACGAACGCTACACAGCATCCGAGACTGCATGCGCAGACGTCCTCCTTGCCTCGCTGTCTCTATACAAAGATCAGCTCAAGACGATGCCATCTCGCAGGGCCCAACTACCGGATAGTGCAGATCAAGCTAGCCCGTGCCGTCTCACGAGTTTTGGCTCCATAGTACGTGTTGCACCCACAGAAAATAGACTGCATAGCCGCCCCCTATGGTGGAGCAACTGGCTGGAAGCGCGACGATCCAGCTCACCAGCGAAGGCCAGTTCTCGCACCTGTCGTGCAATAGAAGCCGCGGGCCTCATCTAAAACGTTAAACCTGCCAGGCTCGTGCCGGCGGGTAGCAATCCTTGAAGATCGCTTTAGCTCGCGCGAGAAGATCCTTCGACCGATGACATGTCGTACTGCCGTTCTTCGCTTGCACCGTACCTTGACTCGCTTCACAAACGCTGCTGCACACGGTTTGTTGCGCACTTCCAGCGCTACCTACTCGTTTGAGAGATCTTTGGCCGTTTATCTCAGCGCTCCAGGGTCCACACGCCAGGCGTTGGTGTGAAAACCGGTTTCGTGTGCAGCTGGCGTCTCGGACGAAACATCGCAAGCGCTATTTTGCCCGAGATGACAGATGGGGACGCCTAAGCACTGATTCGCCCTGCAAGCGCATCAATTGCCTCAGCATGCACGCACCACATCTTATTGCAAACTTTGGAGCTTGGGGCTCCCCAGGAGATCTCAAACTGAGCAGTGAAGGCCCGGGAGATTTGCTTCGTTACAGCTGTTCTAATGCTTCGGCCCTTTTGGAAGCGCATGGCTCTCCTGTACGGCTACAGACGGCGAGCGTAATCCTCATATCCGGTGATGTCATGCAGTGCGGCGCACGCGGCAATCCTTGCAAACGAATGTAGCATCACAACTTCGGATACGTCGATCAACAGAGATTTTCCTGGCGATCGTAGCTTCGGCTTATCGTGAATGCGCGTCACTGAAGACGTTTGACGTGGCTCCCGACGGGCGATATGGCAGCACACGCAGGTCCCGGCATCAAAACACACTACTGGCGGAGATGCACAGTATCGGAAATCAAGAGGGAGATGTTGGCAACACTTATAGGCATGAGTCTCTACCATATCCCATGCCCCAAGTAGATCTACAAAGCAATGTACACAAGTAAGAAGCCTACATGTCTTTCCTAATATAGTTTGATGTGTGTATTATCTCCGCCTTGTTATCACCAAAGCATGTCGGATATGCAACCCTGCTCAATCCTGTTGTACCGGCATATGATTCCTCTACGACTCAACACTCAACGCCTTCAGCCCCAACACCTTGCCATCCTTTACACCAACAACATAATATTCCTCCCTTGCGCCAGTCAATGCCACCCTAAATACCTTCACTTCCCCATCAACCACCTTCTTCACGGTATCCACCACATTCTTGTATTGCCCCTTCGGATCCCACTTGCTCACGCTTAATTCCTCGACCTCGTCGTTGTGGCTCAGGATCTCCTTCAGTTGCTCTATAGCCCCAAGTCAGCCATCGTACCAAACATGGCAGCCAGCATATCTCGCCGTAGCTGCTCGTCCAGCAAACTCGTACGATAGAGCCCTGCACGCTCCACCCCTTCTACATCAAAGCAACCACACTTACGCTCAGTAATCTCATCTCCGTCATAATTTAGCGCCACAGGCTCAAAGGGCTCATCCGCATCACTCGTATACGTCGCCTCTACGCTCTTCAGCGCCTGCGGCACCGCGGCATTCACGCTCTTCGTGCCGTACCCCTCCGACTGCGACTGTGCCTGCGCCCTCCCCTCGTTGGAGTTGGCGTTGGCCTTGTTGAGGAAGGCTTCGTAGTCTGCATCAGACATGTTGGCCGGAGGCGAGGCGTGGAAAGAGCGTGGGTAGGGAGCGGATGCGGTTCGTTGGGGGAGCGTGTGCGTGGACGGGGACAGGCGTGCGATGCGTGCCGGATATTTGCGGGTGGAAAGTCGGCGGGGTTGAAGAAGGACGGTTCGAGGGCAGAAAGGAGGTATGCGTGAGACGAGGGTTTGCGCAGTGCGCACGAGCTGGTGGTTGGGGTTGGTCACCTGCATTGTTGGGCTGGGTGGGAAACGATGACGCAACCCGCGAAAACAAACGCGAGGTGCGCGCCGCACGAGCGCGTGTGATCGGTGCGCCATGACAACCCCCTCAAATCGGATTGTGGACCCTGTGTGAATAGCGTGATAACGTACCACGATGTCAAGTTCTCAGGACAGCATTTCATTACAATTCAATTGCATTCTGGAGTATTGTGAATCTAAGAAAGGAAATGTGACAAGGCTGCCAATGAGCATTTGTACACCAGATCCTCCAATAGTGAAACCGTGCCATGTCCTAAGCACATGAATCCGCTGTTGAAATCGCATGTACTGTGGATATCTTTGCCCCAAGCACGCCGCCCTAATCAACGCCCAAGATTCATGCCGACCATACTGTACGAACAATACGGCACCCGAACGGTAACAAGAAGTTCATGACTAATCTTGTTTCGGTCAGACGTCGTAAATGCCACGACTCTAAAGCTGAGCTGGGAGCGGAAAGGTGAATGCTTCGGAGGAAAAAAATAAATGGAAGATCTGATGGAAGATCCAAAGGAACGCACTACGACTTCGACTCCACCGGCGTAGGGGCGTGCGATGCGCCGTTAGTTGAAGCACCGCGGGGGCTGCTACGCTCAGATTTGGCCGCGGCAGGTTTGTTCTCCTCGCCGTCGTCATCGTAGTTCTCATCGACTTCCACGTGACGAGCTGCCGGCTCATGATGCTCTGGGCGCTCCTGTTTGGGTGTCTCAGACACGCGTGGAGGCATTGGCTGCGGCGTGCTCATTGGAGGCAACGATGGCGGATGATGAGCGGCTTCCGACGGGTGGTAACCATCGTTGAACCGACGAGGATCTGGACCATCTTGAGGGCTGTGACGCGGTACCTGTGGCGACGACATGCGGTGGGGCGGAGATGGGCGTCGGCTGTGAGGCTCCTCCAGTTTCTGACGCTTCTCGTCATTCGTAGGTGGCTTGGGGTGTGGGTGTTCGCCATCCTCCCACTCACGATGGCGCTTGGGAGGTGCCGTAGGAGGGCGATCTTCTCGGTCACGGGCAGCTTGCTCAGCAGCTACCAGAGCAGAGGCAGGCGGCGGGGCACCACTGGCAATGCCACCGACAGCAGATGGGTCAGGATGATGGAATTGGCCCTGGTACCCGTTGCGAGGGGATCCAGCCCTATTGTTTTCGACAATAGGACGAACCTCGGGAGCCGGGCTGCCAATGCGAGGATATTGTGGAGGACCCTGTGCAGGGCCATTCAATCCAGTAGGCGGCGGAGGTGGTGGCGGGGGACCGTTGTTCGCATGTGCCCCATAGTTAGGGTTCGAGATACGGTTGAGAGGTGGTGGCGGAGGGCCTTGTTGCTGCTGCTGAGCCTGCTGTTGCTGATGTGGAGGCAGGTGAGGCTGCGCCTGGGACGCTTGAGGCGTCAGCTGGGGAGGCGGTGGGTGATAAGGGCTGGGAGCAGCGTGATGAGTCTTAGGAGACGGCGAAAGCCCGCGACGCATGCCACCTGGCGGAGGAGGTCCTGGAGGCCCAGTAGGACCGGAGGGACCAGGCCCGTTGGTGGGAGGACGCGAAGGTTCCTGGTAGGGACGCATTGGCTCCTGCTTCAACGGGCTCGGTGGTCGTTGGGTAGCATGCTGCGCAGGCGGGCGAATGCCTTCTCGCTGGTCGTAAGGGTTCAGTTGCTGAGGAGGGAGCCCTGGTTCGCGAATCTGGGCCAAAGGCCTGTTCCACTCGGAAGCACCTAGAGCAGGCGGAGCAGGGCCCTGAGGAGGCTGCTGGGGTTGAGGGGCACCCCACTGAGGCGCCGCAGGTCCATGGATAGAGGCAGGCTGATATGCCTGAGGATGGACATCCTGAGGTGCTGGTGCACTGCCTTGGTTGGGCATGCCGGCTGTGGTCTGTCCGTTTTGGAGTAGTTGAAGACGCGCTTTGATGTGCACGTTAGACGGATCAAGGTCAGCAGCGCGTTGATAGGCGTCCAACGCGTCGGCTGTCTGGTTGTTGCATGATTCGTACAGAGTGCCGAGATCGTACCAAACCTCACTAATATTGGGATTGAGGCGGATGGCTCGGGAGTATGCGTCAAGGGCATCGCGATACTGGTTGATCTGGTAGTAAAGCACACCGATAGAGCACCAGAAAGTCGGATTACGGCCGTCTCGGTAGACAGCCTGCTGATAGGCTTCATAAGCTTTGGGGTACTTCTGCTGTGACATGTAGCAGCGCCCGAGCAAGTACCAGCTCTGTGCGTCCGTTTGATCTGATCATGTCATTAGCCGTTGTCCTAAGCTTGTGCAAGGGTTTACTGAACTTACCAGAAGCCACTGATTTCTCGAGGTACTCGATAGCCTGTTCTTGACTAGCGTAGTTGCTGCTTTGCTGGTGGTGCAACCAGCCCAACTGTTGCAGCACTTTGGCGTGGTTGGGGTCACGTTCCAGCACACGTCTGTACGCGGCCTTGGCCGAGTCGAACTGTATATCGTGTAAGTGGATGGCCTTCGTTCACGGTGGACGTGTTACATACCTCCTTCTGTTGTTCGTAGACGTGTCCGATCTGGAACCAGATGTCCTCTTCAGTCAACGGACGAGGCGGGTTGGTGACGATGTACTTGAAACACTGCATGACATTAGAGAGCGCTCCTGCGAGGGGAGCGCACAACTTACATCAAGACTCTGGTTGAACTTTTGTTGTTGCTTGTATATTATGCCAAGTCGAAAGTAGATTTCGTTGGCCTTCTCGAAGTTTGGCTCCATGCGCATCACTTGAGAGAAAGCTTCTTCGGCGTGCTCCAATGACCCGTACCGATCATAGAGGATGCCAATGCCGTACCAAAGCTTGGGCTCCTGATCACATTGTCAACACAGCACGCAAGACTCACGCCGAAGCCCGACTCACCTTGGGGTCAGACAGATGATACAAGGCCTGCTGATAAGCCGAGTACGCTTGCTGCAGATCGTCCATCATGAGGTAACAGTGGCCTTGCCATGTTAGAAGTGAAGTTTTGAGTGAGTTAACAGGGAAACCTACCGAGGCTACCCCACACGTCGCCGTTGGCAGGATCGACCTTGAGGATGGTGCGCAGATATTCAACAGCATGAGGGAACTGGTCCCGCGCGCGAAGAATGCATGCGATACCTTGCATAGCAGGAATGGACCACTGGTTATGCTTCAGGGCCTGCTCGTAGCATTGCATTGCGCCGTCGAGATCCTGCATTTGCTCCGACAGCGATCCTGCAGCGCGTTAGCGACCCTGTCACCGGCATGCTGCCATCCGCTGAAGCGTACCTAGATTGGTCCAGACAGACTCGGTGAGCTGCTGGAGATACTGCGACGGCGTCTTCGGCTGGCTCATATGTTGAGGATGGCCGTTGGGCTGCGGATGCCCGAGATGCGGGCCTCCATGGTGCGGCGGCATGCCCGTGGTGGGCGAGGGCTGCTGGTGGCTCGCCATGTCGGACGTGAGTTTTCAACACGCGCGTCTCGACACGGAGCCTCAGGTGGGGAGTACTGGCGCAGCAAGCTGAGGGAGCTGAGGAGCGACGAGACGACAACCTTAATTGTTATTGAGGTGCCAGTCAGTACCAGTTGGGGATGCTCAACTGGAGACGTTAGTTGATGACACGCGCGGAACCGTGGTTGTGGCCTACACGCGACGCGCCAGGCGAACTTACGGGGAAACGAGCAGAAGGTTGGCTGGGGCACTGGGCGCCGAGCGCGAGGGCACCGCGCAGACGGGACGGAGCAGGTGCAGAGGGAGTGACGATGGTCGAGATGGCCGGGACCGCTTGAGCAGCGGCAGGAGGGTGGGCGTGTTGCGGGTGCTCGGTACGGTGGGAAACGGGCACGGAGAGGGAAGACGGGAGGAGGAGGGAGAGCAGGGCGAAGAGCGCGCAAGAACCGCCGTCCAACGTCGCAGAACCCTAACCCAGAGGCGCCAAGATGACTTTTGGTAAGATGGATTAGGGCATGGCGTAGACGAGGGGCATGGCATGCAGCAGGGGTACCAGGGCCTGGTAGCGCAAGCCACCACGGCGGCCCACTGCTCCACACACACGGACGATCCCACGACTCCTTGCTGCCGACCTGCCACCACCTGCCCTTGTCGGCCGCCCTGCGACGGCTGCTCGGCGCACGCTGGCGTCGAGGCAGCGAGCCCGCTGCAGCACGCGCGATGCATCGCTGCGCTTGAGCTGCAGCTGATGGCACTGTTCTCTGTATACATGTACCCCAGATGTTCTTTGGCACGCGGCCGTCGCAGGAGGAGCTTCCATCCCCGGCATGCCGGTTCTTTCAGCTGGGAGGTGGCGGCAACGGCCATGGCCCATGATGCATTCCATTCCTCCCAAACATGTGCGCTGGCAGACAGACGCGTCGTGTGTGCTGCAGTGCCGCGGAAGGCTGCTGCTCGCGCTTGTTCCCGTCCGGTTGAAACGCGGCAGCCAGCAACGCTGCAACATCAGCACGCCTTCGAACGGCTGCAGAACCCCTCCCAGACTCAGCGCGGAGCTACTCATTTTGTTTTGGTCCAGAATAACCACGATGACCTCGTTCCGGCGCGCCCTAGTGTTTATATTTCGCCGATCGGGGCTCTGCGTCGCCTCGCCCACAAGACGCCGTTGAGGCTAGCGCCAGGCAGAGAACATCCACCCGCCTCTCCGGAGCGCCTGTCGCCATCTGCGCTTGGTGCCGCATCCGTCAGCCTGATGCGCAGATTCTGCTGCTCCGCGACGAACGTCTGCCAGCCACCAGAGGGACGCCAGGAACACCAGCCCGCTGGCCGTAGATGCCCGCCTCCTCCAGACAGGCGCAGTGGGCGGCTTCATTCTACGACACGCACGCCGACAGCCACTCATCGGCGTGGGCAGCGGCCTTGCGGGCGGATCGCTCAGCTTCCCGCTGACCAGGCCCAAAGAACGCTACTGGCGAGGGCGACGGAGGCCATGCCACGGCTGGTGTGCACGGCGTTTGGAGCCCGCCTGTATAAGGGGCATGCCGGGGTAGCACGCAGCAGCAGAGAGAGGAGGCGCCGGCCCGCTTGCCACGCTGCACTGCGCCAGTCGAGGCGGTGATGTGGGTGCGTCGTGTCTCGGGGGCGCTGCAGCACGAGGAGCGGCAGCCCACAGTGGACCAGATCTCCCAAGCCGCTTATGTGCCGTCCCCACCAAGCTTCCGGCCTGTTCTTCGCTTTAGGGTCCGTGACGCACTGGTTTCTCCGCCTCCCGCTCGGCAGAGTGCCTCATCCCTGCCTGGCCGAATCTGACAAGGGCCGGTGATTTCGTATGCATTAGCCTGCAGCTGGGGGGCTTTTTGGACACAAGGCCCGGCCTGGGGGCGGCAGCCTGCGGCCCTGCGGCAGTACCTGGCCCCTGGGGTGCTGCTCGGGTCAGACCGTCTGCGTGCGCTGCCTCCTCACCGGTGCTTGTCCACGGCCTGCCTCCGCCATCGCCACAACCCTCAGTGCCCGCTGTGTGAAGCTGCTGCGCGCGCCGGTGCGACCTGCCAGCCATCACTCGCGCTTGGTTCAGCAGCCGTCGCGCCATCGTGGAACGCCCTACCGCGATGGGGTTTTCCTTCTAGCCCGCAGCCACGTGAAACGCTGCGTCTGGATGGCTGAGCGACCGCCCCGGAGCAAGCCATTGTGGAGTTAGGGGCTGCGCGTCATGTGTGGGCGACCGAACCCTGAGCTCTCGCCAAGCGCGCCGTGGACAGCAGGAACATCTCCTCGTGAGCACATTTCGATTCTCCACGCATGACAATCCGGTGCTGCCCCCTTAATAGCCTCGACGAGCTTTTGTATAGCTACGCCGTGTGTAATTCTGCAATATGCAAGTTGCGCGGTCGGCACCGCGGCAGCTCCAGATCCAGTTATAATTGGGTGCGCAGCCCAGCGCACCATGAGACAGTGAGATTCTTCTTGATCCTCTCCGGCCAAATCCTATGGAATTGCCTGATCCAGCCCTGCGCACCCAGATTCGATTGCCTGCCAAGGCGAGGCTTCTCCTTTGCGATGCCCCGGACAAGCCACCAGGTTGGCACCAAGTGGACACTGCAAGGCTTGTATCAATGAGGCCCCACTATCACAGCTCTCCGTGCACAGAGTGCATTGTGCACGAGGAGTCGAGGGCCACGGGTCATCGGCATCTGCGCGATGTGGCCCTCGAGCTTGTCGCACTCGTGTTGAGGCGGCGCGTTATATAGGGCATGCGTTGGAGGCAGACGTAGGCCGACGCTGATGGTGAGAGCATTGCACAACCACCTCGTATTCGCCTGGACATTTGCCTTGTCGCCAACGTCTCTGACCTCTTATCACGCTGCAGGCTCGCCGCTATAATGCCCTCATCCGCCCGCTGTCTCACTTGACGCACATCTCATATTTAGCCAACACTGATCTACCACAGGGCTGGTAGCGGAAACGACTCCCAGGATCATTGCTTAAAGCCGCCGACCCCTGCGATAGGCGACCCACCTGCTCATTTATTCGTGGTTACACAACCGGATGCACGTCTACTCACCTGCCCGTAACTCTAATCTACGACTGGGCACCCACGCTGCCCGCTCCGGGAAGGCCTACTGCTGCCTTCATATACCGCAATCAACGTTTCGTCTACGCGCCCGCACCTAGGAACGCATCCCGGAATGGATGTTACAACATATCGGGTAACGCTTGCATGGGTGCCGCGGTGATCGAACCCCGCGTGGGCTGGACTCTTGTTGACAGGTCGTGCACCCTGTCACGGCCACCTTACGGCCTCAACCCGTGGTTTTCCACACTCGGGGGAATGGGCGGGAGTTGATCTTAGAGCTTGACTTCGCCATGCTAGCAGTGGCAGACATGATGCGACACGTGAATCGTACCACTCATGTGCTAACGTTCGTTATTCCGTAGGGTATGCCCAGCAAACCACACAATGAATGGAACGGTAGGCCCTGCTTCCCACAACTGCGGTTGCGTGACCAACATCAGAGGTCGGAACACAGACATGCTGTGGTACACTAGGAAAATGATCACGATTGATGCATTCCTTCTCCACGCGGATCAACCCAGCAAACATCATGATGATCCAACACATCATATTTTCGGAACAACCGATCTAAAGCCATGCGAGCGGATGAGCAGTCAGCGGGGTGAGCCGGACGTGACGGGCTGCGCGAGCTGGGACACGCTGGCGGGTTTCAGTCATCAGATTCCGGTGCAAGCCCTGCCATTTATTGCACGCCCTTCAACGCTGTTTTGTCACACTCAGGGCGCGGCCGCGTGAGGTCATTGCGTCGCTTCGGCTGGAGAAGGGCAAAATAAGCAAATCCGTTGAGTGAGCCGTGTGGAGCCGTGGCGCCGCCCATGTGCTACCGCTGACTTCTCCCCGAATCGAGGGTTCCAAGGTTTGTTTGGTCGGCCCGCAGCATCCTCTTGGGTAGCGACTCTCGCGAATGTTGTGCGATGAACCGTGAAGGATGTTTACGTTCTGTTGGGTTTACATGTGCTTGTGATAGGCTCTGCCAAGAGAGAGACGTCGCTGACTACGTAGCACTCCTCGAACTTTCCTCCAGCTGAAGCTGATGCGCATAGACGTGTCCCCTCGCTACCAAGCAGCAGCATGCTTCTTCGCCCAACACATCAAAACGAGGCACTGAAAAGATCAGCAGATGCCGCTGAAGAGCTTGAAACTCTCGGGACATACTCGTAATAGACTGCATGTATATCATCGCGACCTTAGCTCTTCTCTTCGACCTTCCAAATGTGCTTCATGCAAGAATCTCGTCGCCTATGGGCTCAAACTGTGTTGCATCAACTTTGTTCGTGCGGAGTACATGAATCGTTATCGTCACTTCGCAACATATCATGGCAACTTTATCCAGGCATATCCATACTTGAGCAGTCGTCTTTTCTTTGCCATACCAGGCTGTCTCCGAATAGTTTCCACCCAACTACTTGGAGGCTTGCAGATGGGGTGACTGAGCGCCGAGGGCGGTTTCCGCCAGGCACCGCGCTCTGATTGGCTCAAGCACATCTCATGATTTCGTTCCCATGTCGCGTTCGCTCTCAAAACTTCCTTGGTACAGCAACAAATCCATCCTACGAGCACCATGGAGCGATTTGAGGACCACAACCCTCTACTGTTGTATGCAGTCGGTGTGGTAACCCTGTACCTCTTTTATCGACTTTTTAGAATCGACCCTGAGGCTGCGGTGACTTACAATGTCGCACCACCAGGGCAGGTCGCGCCAGGATGGAAGGGCGAGGTGCTGCAGGAGCTTTCGATGAAGGTTAGTACCTGTGAATACATGCGAGGGAGTCAATTGACAATGTAAAGGTCCCCGGCTCCACCCTGATCCAATGCTATGCCCCCGCAACCGGCGAGTCCCTGGGCCACATCAAACCCTCCACGACGGCCTCGATCGACAGCGCCATTGCGAAAGCCGCCGCGGCGCAAACACAATGGGCACAGACATCGTTCGCGGAACGGAGGCAGGTGCTCAAGACTATGCTGAAGTTTGTCTTGGAGAACCAGGAGACCATCGCGCGTGTGGCTTGCTTGGACTCTGGGAAGACGATGGTGGATGCGAGCTTGGGAGAGATCTTGGTAACGGTAGAGAAGCTCAGGTGGGTTATTGCACATGGGGAGGAGAGCCTGAGGAGCGAGAGTAGGCCAGGGAACCTCTTGATGGCGTACAAGTGGCATGAGGTTATGTGGCAGCCGCTGGGCGTTGTAGCGGCGTGTGTGAGCTGGAAGTAAGTGCTCCCTTCATATGCTAGTTGATACATCACTAACATACTACAGTTATCCTGTGAGCTTGTAATTCGGTCAAATTATACAACCCCTAACAACGAACAGTTTCACAACTTGATATCGCCCGTCATCGCGTCCATCTTCGCCGGTAACGCCATCATCGTCAAGGGCTCCGAAAATACGGCTTGGTCTAGCAGCTACTTCGCTTCAATCGCTACCTCCGCCCTCATCGCCTGTGGACACAGCCCGGATATCGTCCAGTCGGTTGTCTGCTGGCCCAACGTCGCAGAACACCTCACTTCCCACCCGGGCATCGCACACATAACTTTCATTGGTTCTCGCCCCGTCGCCCATCATGTCTGCGCCTCCGCTTCGAAAGCCCTCACACCAGTCTGCGTCGAGCTCGGTGGAAAAGACCCGGCCATTGTCCTAGACGACCTCTCAAACAGCGACTTCCATCGCGTCTCCAGCATCCTCATGCGTGGCGTCTTCCAGTCCGCCGGCCAGAACTGTATTGGCATCGAGCGCATCATCGCCCTTCCCAACGTCTACGCCCGCCTCATCGAGCACCTCACACCTCGCATCAAAGCCCTCCGCCCAGGCTCCATCCTCAATGCCTCTTGCGACGACGCCCCCATCGACATCGGCGCCTGCATCTCGGACGCCGGCTTTTCCCGCCTAGAATCCCTCATCGCAGACGCCGTAACCCAAGGCGCGCGCCTCGTCTGTGGCGGAAAGCGCTACGTCCACCCGCAGCACCCCAAAGGCCACTTCTTCTCTCCGACGTTCCTCATCGACGTGACACCGTCCATGACGATCGCACAAGAAGAGCTATTCGCCCCCGTCTTCACCCTCATGCGCGCGGACTCCGTCGACCAGGCCATCCGCATCGCAAACTCGACGCCCTACGCGCTCGGCGCCTCCGTGTACGGCTCCTCTTCCCGCGACACCGAGCGTGTCGTTCGCGGGGTGAACGCTGGCATGGTCGCCGTCAACGACTTTGCTGTTACCTATATGGTGCAGCTGCCCTTCGGTGGTGTAAAGGGCAGCGGATACGGGCGGTTTGCAGGGCAGGAGGGGCTGAGGAGCGTGTGCAATCAGAAGGCTGTTACGCGGGATCGCTGGCCGTGGTTGGTGAAGACGAGCATACCTGGTCCGATGGACTTGCCGCTGAAGGGCAAGGGTGCGGGGGCGAGGGCGTGGAAAATGGCGTGTGGAGTTGTGTGGGTTGGATATGGGGACTTGAGGGGGAAGATCATAGGTATAAAGAACCTAGTCGGATTGTGAAGAGCGGGAGATATGAATGAAGATGTACGCGATGTAGCGTATCGTACATAATACTAATATCTACCAGATCCGCAGCTTTGCTCTTGGTGTATATGCGAAAAGATCACAGGATATCGTAAAACCATCAAGTCCACATGCCCACACGCGTCTAGACCGTCTCAATGTACCGCTTGATCTCCCAATCCGTGACGGCTTCGTCCCAAAGCCTGATTTCATGCTCCCGCGTCCCTCCAAAGTGGTCCACAAACTCATCACCAAACACTTCTCTAGCCACGCTATCCTTGGCCATAAATCTTTGCGTGGCCTCCTTCAAGCTCTTGGCGAGCCGTACGCCCTTGTCGGTCGCGCCGCCCACGTCCTCGCCCTTGCCAAGCGGCGGTATGGATATCTCCATCTTCTTCTCAATACCCCGCCATCCGAGCGCCAGAATCGCAGCCAGCACAAAGTGCGGGTTCGTATCAGCGCCTGGAACTCGAACTTCGAACCGCGTCGCCTTGCCTGAGGACGTAGGCGGCGAAATAAGGCGGATAGACGCAGCGCGGTGCTCCAGGCCCCAGCTCACCGTCACCGGCGCCCAGAAGTTCTCAACCAGTCTCTTATAGCTGTTCACGTTCGGGGCGAGGATGGGCATAATGTCTGGGAGGCCGTCGATCAAGCCGGCGAGGAAGTGGCGTCCGAGATCGCTCAGGAAGCGCACGTCTGGGTAGGGTGGGGAGGGGTCCTCTTCGCCGCGGTAGAAGAGGTTTTTGCCGGCGTCGTCGACGATGGAAACGTGCATGTGGCCGCTGTTTCCTGGGAGGCCTTCGCGTGGCTTTGCCATGAAGCAGGGGGTTATGCCGTGCTTTGAGCCGAGGGACTTGACGACGAGCTTGAAGAGGGAGGCCTTGTCTGCCATGGCGGTTATTTCGCCGAATTCGAGGGCCTGTCAGTCACAATTAGTGTCAACTGGGTGGACGTAAAGGACAGAATGGGACGCACTGCTTCAAAAACACCTGGTCCGGATTCAGTGTGCCATCCTTCTATCCCACAGTTGAACTGCGCGCATGCGTCGAAGATTCCATAGTAATAGTCTTGGTTGTGCACTGGTCGCGTGATGCTGTAGCCGAACATGCCTTCCGTGAGCGGTGGGAGCGAATTTACGGGGTTGTCGCGCAGGAAGGTGGCTGTAGACGAAGAGTTGCGTTCGGGGCCGTCATGGCTCTGTGGTGCTCTGAACTGGTAGAATTCGTACTCGGCTAGGAACAAGTCAGATATCGAAAGGCGACAGGCAGTATCTGTCCTGCATTCACAGTGACGACTCACCACCGGCCATGGCGCCGTAGCCCTGCTCCCGCAGCTTGCCCACCGTCCTCTTCAATATACTCCTCGGGCACGCGCTCAGACTGGTTCCAGTATCCGGGTCATGGAATGATATTAAGAAGAATGGTACGTTATTCTCCCATGGTATTCTGCGGAACGACGACAAGTCTGGTATAGCGATCACATCGCGGTACCCGTTCTCCTTGTTCGAGATGCCCAGCTCCCGGAAGTAGGTCTGGTCATGCATGTCCCAGCCAAAGATGACGCTGCAGAACCCGAACCCCTCTTGCGCTATGGAGAGAAACTTCTTCTTCGCCATGAGCTTGCCGCGCAGGATGCCGTCGACATCGATGCCCGCGACTTTGACGGCGTTGTCGTTCTTGAGGAGCTCGGGCAGGCGCTCGACGGTTACTTCTTCGGCGTCGGACATGGTCGCGGTGGGGTACAGAACGACTCGGGGAGAGCAGCGAACGGCGGAGGGGGAGATGGGAGCGGGATCTGAAGTATGTGAAGCGAAGGAAGGGAGATAGCAGCGATAAAGCAGGTTTGGTCCGCTGGCTTTTGGGACGGATAGCTGTGGAGCTCGGGCCAATGACGATGGCTGGCGGCGGAGCTTCTCTCTTGTCGCTTGCACGGCGACTCCAACCTTCAGTTCAATAACAGATTATGGACTTGATACTAAGACATTCTTGTAGCATCGCTCTTGTTATTCTTACTAACCGCTCAACTAAAAAATCAATCATTATAAAGACGTGGTGCTCATAGACGCCGTTCGCGCAGCATTACCCCGCAATCCCAATGGAGGGGCAGGGGCATGCATCGTAAACAGCTCGCCATGCTGGATTCGAAGTACAATTCGAGTGAAGCTTCAAATCGAACGAAGGAGCAGCAATCCCTCACCGCCCAAGTTACACCATGCCTGTTCGCGTGTGCGGCGGCGCAACGTGGTCGCATGTGCGACTCTTATCTAACCCTGGGTCCGACTTCGGGAGCGCCCACAATCGCCGACAGTACCCGTCCCAGTCAAACTTTCTTTCCGGACCTCACCACCACCTTGTAGCGCGGATAGCTGCAGCTCCACCAAATAAAGAGCATTTGAAGCTCAGTAAGTAGCTGACCCCTTCGGCACGCTTGCCATCTGCTCGCCGGATCGCCGCCACGTTGCCCGAGAATTAGTCATTAGATCCATTGTTATAAGAGCTTTCCACGGCCTCGCCTGCGTGCTTCATACACCTTCCTAACACTGCCACAGGTTCGTGTTCATTTCATACAAGCACCTGATCCAAGAGCAAGGGCATTCAACATGGGCCGTCTTGAAGGAAAGAACTGTATTGTAACGGGAGCCGCCGGGTACGTATAACAGAATCAGTGCCAGCACACGTTCGTGGCACACCTATTCGAAATCACATCTACACTTGTAGAAATCACCAGGCTATGCTCTCGACATATGAGCAAATTGCTTAAGATCTTCAACTTGCTTCGTACTTCAACAGTCAATAAAAGCAACTAATTCGGTCCTAGAGGAATTGGTCTGGAGACCTGCATCCTCTTCGCTCGCGAAGGTGCTAACGTCCTGCTCTCCGACATCTCCGGTCCCGCCTTGGAAAGGGCCCTCGAGAAGCTCAAGTCCATTGTCCCAGATGCCAAGAAGCTTGATACCAAAGTCACAGATGTCTCCAAAGAAGCCGACGTCCAAGCCATGGTTGAGCACCTCGACTCCTGGGGCGGCGTGGACGTTATCTTCAACAATGCCGGCATAATGCACGCCGATGACGCCGATGCGGTTGACACGCCTGAAAAAATCTGGGATCTCACGCAGGCGATCAATGTCAAGGGCGTATGGTTTGGTAGCAAGCATGCTGTCCTGAGCTTCAGGAAGCATGGCAAGAAGAAGGCCAGTGTCATCAACACTGCGAGTGTTGTAGCTCTTGTCGGCGCCGCGACGCCGCAACTTGCCTATACTGCAAGCAAGGGCGCCGTTTTGGCGATGACGAGGGAATTGGCCATGGTTCACGCGAGGGAGGGTTTCCGCTTCAATGCGCTTTGCCCGGCACCACTCAAGTAAGTTCTCTCTTTACATTGTAAGCATCACGTACTAACGCTTGCAGCACTCCTCTCCTCCAGGACTGGCTTGGCGACGACGCTGCGAAGCGCCACCGTCGTGAAGTCCACTTCCCAACCGGTCGTTTCGGTGAGGCCATCGAGCAGGCACAGGCAGTTCTCTTCCTTGCTAGTGACGAGAGCAGCTTCGTCAACGGTACGGACTTCGTTGTTGATGGTGGCATGACCAGGTGTTATGTCACGCCGGAGGGTCCGGCTACGGAGCCGCCGAAGAACAACGCCCGCTAAATGACTTTAGCTGATTAGTCGGCATGAAGTAGTAGCAGCGGGGGCGATTTTTATTACTCTAGGTAACGAGACTGGCGTGGGTTATGGCTAGGATATGAGGCGTTAGGTGGGAGGGTCCTGATATGGGATGGGTTGCATGTGCTGCTCTTCGAGCCTTGATACATTTACCATGATGGAATGCCGCAATGTGCGCGACTATGCAGTGATATATCTGTATGTTCTGTTTCCACCTTGGAAGGTCACTGCGTCAAGCTGCGCCGATGCAACTCAGTCTGTACTCCCTACTCTTCATGACAGCTTCCTTTCACTGATCATCAATTTCCTCGGCACGCATATTTTTGCTTAGTTCCTTTCTCTTCAGAAACGCGATAACATGTGTAAGGGTGCAAATCTTATCTAGCTAGCTTGTTCGTAGCAGGGATAATCATCATCATAGCCCTGACATTACCCCTTTTGGGACGAAGCAATATCCCGTGCCTTAACATACGATTGTCATTCTACATCGGATGATTTGGCATAGACTACCGTAGATATGGACCGCTGCATAAGTGGAACAGCTGTCTGAAGATTCATAGTAAACGGAAGTTATCAAATATTTTATTCGAAGAAAGTATCAAAACCAACGGCCGAGCAGATGTCCCTCAACAGAGACAGAAGAGAACAAGAGAAAGGGGACAAGGGTATAGTTCGCGGTCAGCTTCTTGAGTCTGTACGGGAAGGATCGAGTACTTTAGAATTATAAAGCAGCCGTTAGGTGATTGAACACAATCGACCGATGAGACTCGTAGACAGTCCAAGGTAACCAATCCTGTTGAGGAGCCTGTTGGGCCGCACCTTCCACGCCCATGATCCTCAAAGCAAGTTTTGACGCGTCGATCCCAGCCATCGTACAAGGTGATATAGATACCCTGGCCCTCTCAATTTCCGTCCAGCCCAACCTCACTCTCCTCGAGCCGTCTATTAGACGCGCAGGCGTTCGCATGGCCCGCGAAATGCGAACCACACGCGTAGCCCTTCCTAATCGCGTAACCACTAAGCTACATCAGGCGCCCGCGCAAGGCACCCACATTAAACAGCCCGCCACAAGGTTGAGAGATTTTCGCGACACGCGGGTCAGACGGCAAGGCTGCTGGTTCTGAATGCGACGAATCGTATCGCGTGTTGCCATGGCCACAAAGCAGGCAAACAGGGCCTGGCAGGGGCTGGAGGGAAGGGAATGCGAGGGGGAAGATACAAGAAAGCGACAGCCGCTTGCGCTGCTGAGAATATGAAATCATATGACTACGCTAATCGTTTCATGCGTACACACTCATTCACACACACACTCTCTCTCTCGGAGGTCGCTTCCAGTGGTAGTCTTTCTAAGAAAGTCCATCCAGATCCAACCCAAGCAAGCGTTCAATTTAATACAACAGCCGAATCCGGATACAAGCAGCGACGCTGAAAAACAAAACATAAAAAACGCTATGATTTTTTCCAGAACGCCAAAGATGTCAAGACACCTTCATCAAGCGAGTCATTACGTCGCGGTACTACAGAGACTGCATACCGGGAGTCGAGGTATATCAAGAAACATGAAGCGGGTATCGAGTGGGGAAGAAGGAGGTGGTCCAGTCAAACGGGCCATAACGCGAAGCTGAAGTGCCAAAGATGCAGGAAGCCAGAAAGCTGGCGAAGACGAGGTCCACCGGCCAGTGAGGGCGGCGGTACGTACCACCCGCACTGTTTCAGTGGTACATGTACGGCAGCCGACCAACCTATGTACGGACGGGTGCCACCTGACGTCTCAAATCGCCAATGTGTTGGGTTCGCTGCGGCTGCCTCCGCCGGTCTCTGTCGCGGCGGCCTGTCCCCGTCACCGAAAAGGCGCGGGGCTCCCTTGTCAAATTATGGTTTCCACCCTTCAGCTCCTTCAAGTCTTGGTCGTCGATCAGTCGTTTGTTCCAAAGGTGGTGGAAGAGACCAAAGTCCGGTCGGCTGGTCTTCAAGGTCTGTCCGCGCTGGAAGTGTTCATACGCAATGTGGTCCATTCTACGGTCCCACGCTATCTTTCCGTCGTCGCCAAGGTACTCCCATTCGCAGAGCGGACATCGCACCGACCGAGGAGGTTCCTCGCCATGGAAATGGCTGAGACAGTGCGTATGCCACTCCTCCATGTTGTACGAGATGTACGAGCATCTCAAGAACCAGAACGCGCACTCATACACTGGGTTCCGGCATGTGTGCTGCGGACGCACGAGTACCCCGTTATCATCCTCAAGCAGCGGCACACCGCCAGTGAAGAAGCTAGCTTGCCCTGTGCTGATGGAAGTTTCGGTCGGGGTTGCTTCGGAAAAGTTGGCAAGAGAGGGTGCTTGTGTAGAGGCGTTGGACTGGTGGTGGACGCATGTGGGTGCCATCGAGGAGCCGGTGCTGCGGACAGAGAGCGAGTGCGAACACGGCGGAATGGAAGGTGACGGCCCCAGGCCGTCAGAAAACGAAGAGAAGCGTGCGAGGCGCGCGTGGATGTCCTCGTCGGGCGACTGCAACCATTCGCCGAGAGGGTTTAGGGTTATGGAATCTTCGAGGACGCTGTCCAGGGACAGCACATTGGCGGGGTTCCGCTGCGCTGCTGGTGTGGCTCAGGCCAGCGTCAGCCTCAGGCTCATGTACCTCTCCGAGGTGCGGTGCAGCCGTATTGCAGGCAGCCATCGCAGACGAATCAGGGCGGAGATACTCACAGTTGGGTACTACCATGTCTTCGCGCGAAGACCTGCGGCGTCGGGTGGGTGTCATGGTCAGGACGAGACTTAGCGCCCGAAATGCGTTTGGTTTGGTTCAGATCCGTTCCGTTTCGAAGCATCCTTCGAGCGCCTGTTCGAGACGACACCGATTCTTTATGTCCACCGCCATGGCCGCCAACAACTCCATCGAAGACGGTGTAGTGCGGCTCTCTGTGAGCTCCGCTTGTCATTCGACATTACTACACCCACCGGACCCACCGCGATTGACATTGGCGCCAGACAACTCCATCCCGAAGCGGGAGACGGACAGGCTTCCGGATAACCTCAATTCTATCATTGTTCCCGCGCGCGGGTGCTGTTGTTCGGTCTCACCGACTCTTGCGCGTAACCATTGGTTATGCGCGCGTGCCCTTGCTCCCAGTCAGAGGTGATGCGGGGATGCGCGCTACGGCAGCCACCCCTTCGGCGGGGATGCCGACCGCTTCTTCCACACGAAACTCGGCACCTTTGTATGGCTATCAAACGGTGTGTTAGCCCCTCTGTTGGGTGGTCCGACGGCCGTTTGGGGTGTCTAATCCTAATCGCGTCAATGCTGGATACGCGATGCACCGAATCAGCCGATCCAGGGCCGTCTGGCAGGCGGTGGACGCGCCAGCAAAGCGAACCTTTCTAGAAGATAACTGGGCATACTGATCGCCCTATAGGGCTTTGATCGACCTGCATGAGCAGTTCGTAGGGTCGTATTTTGTGCTTGTTTGAGCCTGTAGGATTCCACGGGTAGACTCATCCGCCACTACCAGCCGGCCGTTTCCCGTACAGACATTGACCTGTTGCCGACGTCAAGGACGTGAGTCACCCACACTGTCTTAGCACTCGCATTCATTGACAGCCAGAAAGAAGCTACGCCGTGTCTTGCATGTGAATCACATCATTACCATATACATCAGTGAGGAGTGCATTATCGTGTAGCCAGATATCGCTCTTAGACATTCAATCTCAATGTGAACCCGTACAGAGTAGTTCTACAACATAAGTAGCCGCGTAACATTCCAACACTCCTCCGCAAGTTTCCGCTTGTATTGACCTTGAACTGTGATCGATTACCCCAGGCTACTATTACTCTTCTACACTATCGCTTTGCCCATAGACGGTGGAGCAAAACTGCCGCACGTCGTAAAAAGACCGAACTGTGATTCAGTGCCTCCAATCCGCCATTCCACACCAATCCACCACACCCCCAACATGCCATGGACCGAGATCAGGTCCATATCTAAGAACGAGCGATCTTTTGTCAGACACAAGGGTGCGAAGCCCGTCGACATTCCCTGTTTACACAGAACCGAGAATGGCAAGTTCAGGATCTCAAACCCCACCAGCGCCAAAACTAAGAATAGCGATGCAGATCGGGATACCGAACCCAGACTACCGGAGCATGTAGACTCAAGGATGCGATCGTCGGGTGAGAACACTTAGGGAAGATCTCGGTAATTAGATTGCCAGGTCGTCAGGAGAGAAAGACAGAAAGGCTTTAGTGTGATCGGTCGTGTGTGTTGATGCCCCAAGACGTGTAGTAGGAGGGAGCGATGGCGAGGGGTACGGGCTTGAAACGGTGTCTCTTGATCGCAATAGCGTTACCGCAATTACTCCCGGAAGCTCCCCAACATCAACGACTCGAGGGCATTGACTCCAACATGGCTTTCCCATTACTCAAACTGCGCAGACGTGCTCCCCCTCCTACAACCCCGCCTTCTTCTTCGCCAACCCCCCCAACTTCTCTGCCGCCGCCCCCAAACTCTTCACATCCGCCCCCTGGATCATCTTGTTCCCATTGACAGCGACCTGCTTGCCCTCCTTGAAGAACATAAACGTCGGCATCGCCTGTACCCTGTACGCGGCCGCAATGTCCTGCGCGTTGTCCACGTTGACCTTTGCGAACGCTAGTGTGCCGTCTACGCCGTGCTGCTTCGCTAGATTGGCGTAGTACGGCGCGATTTGCTTGCAGGGGCCGCACCAGTCGGCGTAGAAATCGACGGCGACGTAGGTGGTTGAGGCGAAGAGGGCTTGTAGATCCGAGAGGGAGGAGGGGTGTTTGATGTCGGCCATGTTTACTTTAGGATCCGGAAACTGCTTTTAGAGTGAGGAATATGCGACCCTCTATATTGGCGCGATTGTTGTTTTGGTGGACGTTAAGGCGGGCGGAGAGTCTTATACTTGGGGTGGTGGTGCAACCGAAACTACGAGAAGGCTTCCGTGATGGCGCTTGGTCCGCACTTGCTGGTTTGCTTGCATAAGCCGTCATGGGCGCGCCGTGCACGCATTTGCAACACAGGTCAGCATTAACAAGAGATACACATGGAACCCGCCACCTTTTTCGAGGGTCTGGAGCTAATTCTATACCGAGGTTTTTGCTACTGCAGTGGCGATCTCGTACATCAGAAGCACGTTTTGGACTTGTGGAGATGTTGATCGCGCCAAACGATAACTGCGCTGTTCAGCATTTATTCTGTTTTTTGATAGCAGGATAGTACTGAGTGAACTGACTTAGTCAGCATCTCTTGCTGCCCTGGTATATTGAGACTGGTCGCTCCCCTCTGGACAGATTTCCTAGCAGCGCTCATGCAAGTTTTGCTCTTTGAACCGACTGTACCTGTTAGTTAATTAGTTAAACAGCTCCATGTATCAAGCCAATATAACAGAACGATCCCAAAGCAGTGCTAGAGTCCCGTTTCGCACATTACCGCTTTTGCGTTCGTGTACGCATTCCATAATAGTCAATGACGCATCCAAGGCGCCGTCCCGCCCCACCAAGCTCCACTACCCCGCTCCGCCAGCCTCAATCGCCCACAAACTGCATTATCTGACTTTTAAACTCTTGCCTAGCATACTCCTGCTGCTGAACTCGTTACGCTGGGGATATATATTGTATATTTTCAAAATTCGTCATCAGTCAAGAAATTTCCCCGACATCAAAATAGTCGTGAATCTTCTCAACGCCCGGCTGGCACAATTGGTTAGCGCGTGGGACTTTTAATCCCAAGGCTCAGGGTTCGAGTCCCTGGTCGGGCGGTTTTCATTTTTGTCATTTTTCTGGCGGTCCTGGACGGTCTTAACGTGCATCATGCTACTCCTCTGGCTTGTACGCGTCAATGAACCCCAGAATTGTTACTTTTGGGCGAGAATTGCAAAATCCATAGGCGATTGAAGTAGTAGTTTTTGAGATTTTTCTCTTGCGAAGCAGCGACTCGAACCCTCGGACAGGATGGCGGTCACACAATGTTCGAGGCGCCGCGCGCGTGCGAGGAAGTTGAATTTATTCATCCCAAGTTCGAGATACTGAGTTTTTGCTGGGTCAAGGATACTGTAGTCTTAGATGACTGACTACAGACTCGGGTTGCAGTTGTACGAATTCATGCTGCACAGACTTTGAGCATAATCGCGGTAATGTCGACATCGCCATTCTGTGTTCATCGTACTGGAAGAGCACTTATCTCTTTGCTGAGTTCCCAGCGACAATGGCAGAGTTCAGGCCGAGGTATCTAGATGAATGCACCACATCTGGTCGTAATACGACATGAAATTTGTACCGTGAGGCTGGAATGCTGAGACTTGAGATAAGAGTACGATATTCCAATGGCGATGGATTTTTCTTCCTGACAACTCGGACTCTAACCCTCAGACCTTGGGGGTTTCCTGTTAGCCGAATAAAGCGAGACGAAGCATCAAGTGCTGGTGAGCCGAACAATGATATTTCATCATTTCTGTCGAAGAGAGACAAAGCACAAGGGGCACTCTTCAGCGGATGTCAATGGAAGAACTTGATCGTATTTACGACGTATCACATAAACATTATGCAGCAAGCTGACTCCGCACTTTATCCTTCATTGTAGGTATATGCTAATTTAGCACCAAGATTCGTGTCACCATGGATTTTGCCCCAGTACCAGCTCTTCATCACGTCGTTGCCTCTACTCCGTGTCAACATTGACTCTACCCGCCACAAGCGCAATCAATGCTGCGCCAACACCAGAGCCGTCCTTGGCAATCCCAATTCTGATGCGCTTCTCACCCTTCTCGCCAATGCTTTCTATCTCGCGCAGCGCTTCGCGAATGTGGTCCTCAAAATTGGGGTAAAATTCCACGAGCGAGCCATCGACACCAACATCGATGACATCCTCTTCGGAGGGCTCCACGTCGCCTCTCGGGGGGTTGATGCCCTCCTTTTGCTCTGTTGTTGCGGTGCCCTTAGCACCGTCTAGTCTGCCGGTGTTGATGACAATGCCAGCAATCGCAACGGCTGCAAGACGTGCTGCGCGACGCCCAATTGCGGCTGCGATGGCCCTGACGGCTTCTGCGTCCTCGGCGCTCACGGCGGTGATGCCGTAGTCTTTGTCCAGGGTCTGCCTAATCATCCTGTAGCCAGGGCTAGTGTCTCCGGCGCAGATGCTGAGGAAGCTGGTGTCAATGCCCCACTGCTTGTACAGCGGCGAGTTGTCGTAGATCTGGGTAGTGCTATGGATGTCGTTCTGTGCCGAGTTCTCGTCACGGAAGAGCGGGAAAGTGGGGTCTTTGAGAAGGCCGATGATGGCTAGACGCAGGATCTCGCCGAGGAACATGCCAGATACGCGCTTCTCGAACATTTGTATGCCCGGGTTCACAGACTTCTCGTCGAGCTCCGTGTCGTAAGGAGTGTTCGGGAGAGTACGCAGCGAGTTGTCGAACGAGCCCCACTCGGTGTTGACGATCATCTCGCCCGTCGACTTGTCGTAGTCGCCCGAGTCTTTGCTCTTTGTGAGCTTTGTGACCTTGTCGAGCTTCTCCACGTATGCGCCGTTTGTGCCAGTGCCGAAGATTGCGCCCAGCAGCGTACCGGTCTTCCCGGGAGAGGTGTACGAGCGAGCCATGAGGGTTCCGACGGTATCATTGACAAGAGCGGCTACACGAACGGGAAGGCCCAATGCGTCGATTTCTGTCTGAAGCAGGGCGCACACGTCTTTGCCTACAGCGTCAGCAATATCAAAACCCTTGGTCCATCGCATGAGCAGGCCTTTGTTGATGCCAATCTGGTTCACGGGGAACGAGAAGGTGAAGCCCAGGTTGAAAATTTCCTCCTCCTTGGCGTCTCCTCCGGTATTCCTGCGCCTGAGGAAGCCAGTGTAGTGTTCCTCATGGTGCGCCTTGAGGAAGTTCTCGATCTGCTTCGCGAGGAAAGAGAAAAGCTCCTGGGACGTCTTCGCGACCATGAGCTCCTTGGGTATGGCGACCTTGCTCTGGGTGAGCGAGAAGGTGGTGTTGCCATGCAATTGAATGGAGCACACGCGGAAGTTGGTGCCGCCGAGGTCGACGGCCATGTAGAGGCCCTGGTGCGCATTAGCCGTGCCATTGTTGTTGTTGTTGTGGTGTGTTGTGGTGGGGTCCCACCTTCTCGGTGCCATTGGGGACGGCAGTGACGTAAGTGGGGATCTGGCTCAGCTCTGTGCCCTCCTGCAACAGGCCCTCGTCTGCGCGCTGTCAGTGCCTGCCGGTGGGGTTTGGGGGGTTTGGAGTGCCAGTGCACCACGTACCCATCTCCCGAATGAACTCCTTCACAGCCTTGTTGACGGCATCGGGCCCGAAGCTGAACTCGTCGGCGACGCGCTTTGCCTGCTCTGCCAATGCCATGCTGCGCGCGGTGTCTCTGTTGATTCGCTTGTTGAAGGTGCCGGCGGACGCGGTGCGCTGCGAGGGACTCGGGCAGACGGGGGGTTCTCTGTGCAGAGGGTGTTCGCGGGGGGAGAACGCGGAGAGGGTGGGATCGCGAGAGTCGTTTGTGGGCGTGAGGCGGAGGAGCTCGTGCGGCAGGCGCGGGGCTAGGAACTGCAAAACAAGCACTAGCAGCACGACCAGGGCACTGAAGACGTGGTGGGTCGAGAGCGAGAAATTTGCGCGCACAGCGCCTGGTCGCGGACTTGGGCTCTTGTCGCTGCGGCCTGCGGTTGGGTCGGCGGCGGCTGAGGGGCGTCGCATCGCATGAGCGCGAAAGGGCTGGCAAGCCCAATGCACACGGCGGGGTCGGACGCTGCTGTGTTTGGATTGGACCAATCTCGGCTCCCAGCTGTCGAGGGGCTCTGCGGGTGAGGGATGGGAGGCTTCAGGCGCATCCCAGGACACGGTGTCGATGCCCTGAGACTGCCTGTCTCATCGCGACTGAAGGGGGCGGCACCTAGCGCTACAGGAATGGTAATTGAAACGAGGCGTCTTGCCTCTCCGAGGACTGAGCTCCAGAAACATCGCGACCCGGGGCACTACACCTCGCAATCCCCGCAGCCTCGGGTATCTTACGTCGGCGGCTGACGGCCCCAGGTTCGACTGATCGACCGCATGCACCAATGCGAACGCTGCCATTCACTGGCTGGACTAGGTCTTGTCCCATTGGACTTCTCGTGAGACTTCAACATAACCTCAAAATGCCATCGCCGAGGCTGTGAGTTTCCGGAGGAAGGTGCTGCTCTTGGAGGATGCTCGTCCGCAACCAACCGTGCCGCTTCGTCAAGATCCTCTGCATCTGTCCCTTTCATCGCCGTCCTCCATCGGCCATTGCACCAGCCCTGTACAGTCACCGACGTCCGCACGAAGTGGGCAGACTGCCTTGAGAACTGACAGCTCTACAGTAGTCAGGCACATGGACCTTCCCCGGCTAAATTGGAAGGGGCGATGCGGCAACGTATCGTGGACAACCGAAAGCTAACCTTACGGCGCGAGACGCATATTTTGTTGATGCGATGTGTGAGCTCAATAAGCCACATTTCCCTCACCATCTTGAGCATATCGAGGATTGTGCCATTCGATATCGCATCTATGGTGGCGTGCATCAAAAGTGTGAGGTTGCACCAGCATCCTGGTTCGACCGCACCCACGTTTCCGATATTGCGTTGACGCTTCCGATATGAGGTTGATAGCTTCACAGGCCAGCGGTGCCGGCAGTTCTTTTAGCAGTACACATTCGTAGGGTACCATCTCTCAACAGCAACTTGCACAAATAGTGGACATGCAGATCATACATCTCAGCCAGCATCGTGAGCGGCTCGACATACCCGACGTACGGTTCAAATTATTCTCCCGCAGCAGCAATCAAAGCCATGCATTGACTTCGGATAGCAGATAGTGTTCACTAAAAGCGAGTGTCTTCCTCGACTGTCTCAATCGTGTCCGTCCACACTACCTCTTACCTGTCAGCAATATTTCAAGTGCCACGATGTACTGGACTTCGCTCATCGCTTTGGCGCTTATTCGGCCCTCACAGGCGCTGATTCGTTTCGGATGCTCACAGCTCGTCGTCGACAGACTGGACCCGCTGGTGAATCCGGGCATGGAACCGAGTCCACATCTACATCAGATCATAGGTAGGAACAATCCATACAAGGAGCCTTGTCATAAGTCCAACACGTGTCTCTGAATGTGCATAGAAGTAGCGGAGCTGCCCTGCTGATCAGATCACAGGCGGTAACTCCTTCAACGCTTCCATGTACAAGGAGGACCACGACCTGGCCAAGCTCTCCACTTGCACATCATGCCAGCCTTCAGGTGCGTGAGCGAATCCAATTGATTAGTAATTAATCCTGATAATCGGCAGAGGACTTCAGCAACTACTGGACTGCTTCCTTGTTCTTCCGTGCTCGCAATGGCACGTACAAGAGAGTTCCACAAAAGGGCAACGTAGGATTTGAAGCTCAAAGGGGCGGGATGACCGTATACTACATGCAAGCCTCTCTTGGGGTAAGCCAGCCTGCAATGCGGAGAATGTCCGGAGAAGAACTCATGGTGATCACACAGGACTTCCAACAAAAGGCCAAAGTCAAAGCTTTCCAACCCGTAAGGCCTACCTCTCCCTCGTATGAACCATACTCAACGCTTACAGGGCTTCCGCATGCTTATCGGCTCACCCAGCGCCTCGACCAAACCCGAAGCCGACAAATACCCTCAACTTACATACACCTGCCTACAAGACATGAACACGCGCTACCCCGAGACGAAAGACTTCCCAGCCAAGCCCTGCCCCGCTGGCATCATGGTTAATCTACGCTTCCCTACGTAAGTGCCCATCCCCTTTCTCACCAGGCTTACATTGGCTGAGCACAGGAAGCTGTTGGAACGGCGTCGACCTCGACAGCCCAGACCACATCTCGCACATGTCGTATCCCGCGAACGGTACATTTGAGAACCAGGGCCCATGTCCGGCGTCGCATCCTGTACGTGTGGCGCAGGTCATGTACGAGGTCATCTTCGAGACGAAAGCGTTCAACAAGAAGGCGGATTGGCCCACGGATGGCTCGCAGCCATTCGTCTGGTCCTTCGGAGACACGTAAGTAGCCTCTTCCTCACATCTGCATGGCAAATTGAGCTGGGAACTGAGTCATATAGAACTGGGTTCGGAAACCATGGCGACTATGTGTTTGGCTGGAAGGACGACTCGCTGCAGAAAATTCTGGACGAGGAGTGCTATGTGCAGTGTAAGACGATGAAGACGCAGAGTATTGAGGAGATGAACAGATGCTCCATACCGAAGAAAGTGGATGAGGATGTCGGAGATGATGCCTGTGAGTTGAGATGTGTTTTATCATGGTGCAGAATGCTGATCGCTATGCCAGGGATCGATGCTATCCCAGGTCAGAAGATGCCGATGGCATAAAGTTTGAAACTCGGATTCGAGGCGAAGCATATGTGGAAAGTAACTCAGTCTAAGTAGATAATGTACCCAGATGTATGTGGATGCAAGAATTTCTCCGTGTCGTCGCACGCCTTCGAAACAAGAGACATACCGCTAGCCACCTCTGCTTTCGAGACAGGCCGAGGATAGGGCTTGGAGCAAACAGCCCGCCTGCTAGCTTGTCCAGATTTGCAACCTCCATCTTAAGACGCTTCAGCTACGGACGGTTGTCACGTACACAATTCCACTCTTGCACTCGATTCCTTTGCTTTGCTCACCACTTTTTCCGCTTTGCGCATTGCAGGGAACTAAAAGATACAGACGAGACCGCGATACGTTTCTGGTCCTCTCCTTAGAGACACAAAAATCAAACCCATGTCCGTCCCGGGGAGGATTTCTGGCAAGCACGTCTCCCGTTGGATCATCTCAAGCAGTCGACAAAAAGATACCAGGAAGACCGACTGTGTCCTTCAGTTCTGATTCTAAAAAGAAAGGCTGGCACAGAATATGTGGTGTTGGGGAGGAGTTCTGGAACGACGAAACCGAATTGAAAGCAGCGTACGTAACACATGCGACCAAAAGGCAACACGAATGACGTCGATTTGCTCCTCTTCCTCGCTCAAAACCAAACGAAGACGAGAAAATTCCTGCTTGGGGAGACACCCTCAATCAAAAGGCCGCTCTTTCTCCCGTAGATTTGCGTAGGCCTCATGCATGTCTGTCTTTTGGACAGAATAGTCGAACTATCATTTTAATGTCCCTTAAAGTCAGACGGCAAACTATCATGATCGGTGGGGACACCAGATTGATGACTTCGTCCATGAGGAAGTCACCTGGACAAAAGATAGCCCTTTCGCAAGTTTGGTCTGTACGGTACATCATGCGGCTCGAAATCGAAGAGTCAGCAGAACGCCAAGTGCCATAAATGCTACTCTACCTATAAAAACAGCAAGCAAACTCCAACGCCAACGCCGCTATGCAAAGCACAGATTCGAAAGGAAGATGCCGAAATTTACCGCGCGTTCCCTGCAGCATTGCTACTTACAACCCCTTTGCCGGTCTATGAGAACCCGCTGTCAAAGTCGCACGGGGAACCAGGGGCCCTGCTTCATCATCGCCTTCCGTAGTACTCGTACTCTCCGCGCCGCGGAAGCACGCGACATGTTTCGCGTGGCAATGAGCTTGCGGCAGCTGCTGAGTTGCTATAGACGTAGACGTAGGAAAACCGAAAGAAGTCGAGGAGATCGTGGTTTTTACGTCCTGGACACTGAGAGTCATGCTGGACCCAGAGTTTGGTATATCAATCGTCTCGGGTGGTGCCGAGGCCTTTGAAGTGCCTGAGGCCGATGATGTGCGCTGTCGGATACGCGTTTCCAACGTCGACGGCAAAGGATGAGGCACGGGACTGATATGAGGCCGAATACTCAGCGAAGGCGCAAGATGGTGCACATCGGCGTGTTCACTCGGATTGGGTGGTGGTTCCCAAAACGTATCATCCAGCTTCTCCTCGGTGCCAGAAGTTTTGCCAGGACTATGTTTTGATTCAACCAGTGCCAAGTATGAGTCAGAGAGGACCGATTCGCCGCGAACCCACAGGTGTTGTGTAGCCCTATGCACGCTCGGACCCGCAGGTATTCCCGGATCTTCTTTTTGGATTCGATCCAGATCCTCATCACTCAGAAGTACCTCGTGAGGAACACCTTCTGCTTCCAGCAGTGCTGCATTTGGTTCAGAGATATTTGGATGAACGCTGGGGCCTTCCTTCTTAACAAATTGACCATCTGTTGAATCGAGCTCTTGCTGGTCAGGTTCTGGTGTATTCGGACCCTTTTTGCCGCGTTTGCGTTGTCCTTTGTCATGTTTACGTTTCGGTTCTTGCACACTCAGGCGATTGCGTTCATTTGACTCCTGAGCTGCGGAGATATCTTGCGTGGCCAAAGTGTCTTGAGCTGTAGTAGCAGAGCTAGATGCAACAATGGCTGTTGGAATACTTCCAGTCGTGCTAGAAGGGTTTTCATCATCGTCGCGGGGGAACAGAGCCGTGGCTCTGTGGTGCGTGGCCTCGGCTTCGAATGTGACGCCTTCTTCATCCACAGACTTTGTTGTCGTGACATTGCTGCCACCATGTTTCAAATGTGGTGCAATACGGTAGGCATATCTCTTTGACTTGTGTGGCATGTACGAGGATGACGTTCGTGTTCGTCGAGTGGTGGAATCTGTATATGTATGAACACGCTTCAGTTCACTGACCGTGCGATGTGTAGCTTCGGGCTGGAACAAGACGTCATTAGGAGATGTCATCGTAGTTTTAGGAGTTGCCTCATCAACCCGAGGACGCACGAGGCCTGGCGCAACCTTGTGCATATAGCCAGGATTGGCTACTGGTATGAGAGTCACTGAAGTAAGCGAACTAGCAGACGTTGGTGTAGACGCAGCAATTGTGATGTTACTGACAGTGCTTGGCAAGTTATCGGCAAGATGTGAGGCATGTCTGTGCATGCGAGCAGCAGCTCCACTCTCTTCCGTTGGTAAAAGCGATGAAGAGGCTTGTGAGGCGATGGAACTTGGTACAGTGGATGAGGATGGCGGTGGATGAGCTCCACGCTTCTTCCAACGCTCATGCCAGTCCCATGTCAAGAGGTAGTTTGCCGGGCGTTTGACCTGTGCTGCTGAGCCAAGTTCCAGTGGTCCGCTAATTTCGATGCTTGAGTCTTTGTTACTCGATAATTTCTAAAACATGGCATCTTCACTTACTTTGTCTCAGATGCAGGCTTGTGCGTATGCAGATGCGTATGCGTATGCCGATGCGGATGCTCATGCTCATGCGTATGCGTTTGCGTTTGCGTTTGCACCCTCCTTGTGGCTGGCTCACGATGCCTTAGGCCTCTCGAAGCGCGATGGATATCTCCTGACCAGCCGACGCTTATTGACTGACTCGTCCTGGCACTGCCATGCTGTGTTATTCGAACACGTCTAAACCGGGCTATCTCCACTCACTGGTTCTTATGCGTAGGCGTAGGCGTAGGCCGATGCTTGTCTTGTTTCTTCGGATGCGGCTCACGATGCAGCAGACCTCCCGCCGCACGATGAACTTCAGGCCACTCGTCCAGCTGACTGGTGTGGTCCCTGAACAATTTGAGGCTCTTCGTTGAGAGCAGTGTGGGTGGCGATGTTTGGATACTGGAAAGCAAAGAGTCAGATACTGTCAAGAAAGTTCAGCGGAGCTATACACTTACTGGATGCTGGTGGGACTTGGATTTGTCCTGCCGGGTATACCACTGATGCCGGCAGAAACATGGGTGGAAGATGACAGCGGCAGAGCTGATGCAGACGAGATTACCATGCTTGAGTGGAAGCTGGACACAACTGTATGCCCAGAACCATGATCTCGTAGATTATGATGGACAGGCAAGACTTGTCCTGTTGTGATCGCTTCGCAGCAACTGAGCAGATTTGTTGTGAGAAGCAGTGCTGACTTAGTCGGAAGATACATCATGACAGATTCCAGGCTCTCGGCCCCGTTTTTGAGGTATCAATTAGTGCATGAACTTAAGAAAGATGATCGGCACTACTTTCTTATATATCCATACCATAGCCTAAAGCACAAAGCCCCCAATGCTACAGTTCTAACATACCTCACAGAGACACCACATCATGAATAGGTCACGGCACTCCCCGTCTCTCCCGGAAATGAGTTCCATTGCTCCACTCACTCCTCTATAGAGCGATCTTCGGAGAGCTGTGCAGTCGCTTTACACCGTCCCTGCCAAGCATCGTTACTAACATGAGGCTGAAACAGCCCGAAAAAGGACCTTACATAGCGCGAATCTAATTACATCACCCGTCGGGGCCTTGGACTAACCAGACGCAACTAGAGTTATCCATAAGCAGCAAGATGCTGTGTCTCCGTAGAATTACTAACGTCGGAGTGTGCGGTGGCTGTTCGGTACTCCTCTCGGCCCCCGAGCGCGCTGATTGGCGGATAGACGATTCGGCCCCCGTACTCCGGACTCGAAGCGCGCGGAGAGCGACGTCTTGTACGATTGCATGTTAGTGGTGTTGTGGAAGTCGGATTAGAGTTGTGGGTTGCTGATGGTGCATGGATGACTATCCACGAGGCTTGATGACAGGTGTGCGCGATTGGAGGATTCGGCGAGAAATCTCCACCAGGGATGCGATATGGAATGATTGTAGTTTTCCGCAGTGGAATATGGGGGGATTTTGGTGTCGCGAACGCAAGAACGCGACCTCCGGATGTCTAAGCTTAAGCTTGGTAGATACTCAAGCCTCGAACGCCCTCTTGTGGTGCCATGCGAAAGCCTTTTAGTGCATATTTCGCCCCTTCACTTTAAAGCCCTCGTTAGTTCCACTTGCATCGTATATTTTGAGTACAGCTACGATGGGAGACCATACACCATCTCCATCCCCCTCTCCCAGACCAATTGTCTACTCACCCTCACAAGAATTCATCGGCAACGACGGCCAATGGAGCGACTTCATCATCCGAGTTGGCTCACCCGCTCAAAACTTTCGCGTCATCCCCTCCTCAAAATCCAGCGAGATATACGTTCCTATCGTGGACGGCTGTGAAAGAGACAATATCACGTCGTGCGGTCCCCTCCGTGGCGCATACGACTTCAACGGGCGAGAAAGCAGTGGGTTCCTCGTAAATAGCTCGTCGACCTGGCACGAAATTGGGCTGTATGAGATGGATGCGCGACCGGACTTGAATTTCACTGCGAACGCCCTGTATGGCCTCGACACCCTGGGCCTTATGCTGCAGAACAGCGGAGGTCCTACGTTGTCCAACCAAGTCATTGCGGCCATGGCCAATCCGGCTATATGGGTTGGGATGGTCGGGCTGGGTCAAAAACCCGCGAATTTCTCGGAGTTTGATAATCCGCAGGAAGGGTTGATTAGTTCATTGAAGAAGGAAGGAAAGATTCCGAGTAAGAGCTATGGATATACGGCGGGAGCTGCATATAGTAAGTATTCCAACGTCTTGGTATAGAAGAAGAGGGCTGACGATGTGATAGGAAAACCCCAAGCATTGGCAAGTCTAACGCTCGGAGGCTACGACCAGTCAAAGTTTGATCAGAATAAGATCATATTCGGCTTCGATCCCGACGACGACAAACCGCTCAGCTTGAACGTTCAGAGTATGGTCGCGCAGAACACCTTCAACGGGAGTACAAATCTTCTCGGTGTGGTGAACCAGCCAACATATGTAACGATAGATTACACTGTTCCGCATTTGTGGCTGCCGAGGAGCGTGTGCGATAGTAAGCAAGTCAAAGAGTCTTGGATTATGAAGCAGTATTGACGGTGTATGACAGTTTTTGAATCGGCGTTCCACCTGACCTACGATAACAGCACGGATCTATATCTCGTAAACGATACAGTACATACGCAGCTCAAAGCAAAGAGTCCAACCATAACAATCGGTTTTGGGAAGACTGCTGATCCAGCGGAAAGAGTGAACATTGTGTTGCCGTACGGAGCTTTTGATTTGCAAGCTTCGCATCCGACATATCCAAACGCAACAAACTATTTTCCGATTAGGCGAGCGTTGAACGAGTCGATGTATACATTTGGGAGAACGTTGATGCAGGAAGCATACTTGAAGGTCGATTACGAACGAAGTCAGTTCTCGATCCATCAGACGTTGTTCCCGGACACGGGTGCGAAGCAACAGATTATTCCATTGTTCAGCCCTTCTGATTCTGCGGTGGGAGGTGACGAACACCGTGACGGAGTCCATCTAAGTGCTGGTGCAATAGCAGGGATTGTTATTGGAGATCTAGCTTTGTTGCTGCTGCTCGTTGTCGTTGGTCTTTGCATCTACAGATGGCGTTCCATATCAAAATGGCGTCTAAATCGACGAACACACGCGGATGAAGAGCGGCCACCTGAGAAGAAGATTCATTCGGACGGCGAGTTACCGAATAACATGCGACACGAGAAGGATGGCCCGGCAGTATTCGAAGCAGATGGATCTGGGCTCGTAGAGCTATGTTACCAGGGTCTCCGATTGAACGTAAATGTGGAGAGGAGTCATGAGCTAAGCGGTTATGGCTCAACACCCGTGAGGATAACGATCTCGCCATCTGAGACCCAGAGTCAACGGAGAACGGATTCGGTTTGCCCTCAAGGCGCAGAAGAGGCAAGGAGATTTTCATTCGACAGCCAAGTCTCCACGTGGATCTAACCTATTCTGATCGCGGTGTGATGGCGCAGCACCCTGGCTGCTGTTACATCGAAGCCAAGGTTCATTCAAGCAGAAAAGATCCCATGACCAAAGCGGTCCGAAAAGCTCTGACCGATTCAACTTAAACCAGTTATCTGAACCAGATCAGGCTTCTGCGGCATCCTCATCCTCGTCTTCATGAGCAGCAGCCCAGGGACTTCGTCGACGCAACGCTTCTCCGTGCTTTGCTAGTATGAAAGGAATCGGCGCCATGAAAAGCGACACGCCGGCTAATATAATGCAAGCAATCTTGGTCCCTACGTGGATGAACAGCAGCCGGCCAAGCAGGGGAAAACCAGCGCCTGCGATATTGCGTACCAGGCCGATACCCGCCAACGCAGAAGCTGAGTACGTCTTGTACGCATCCTCGGTATATGTCAACGTCATCAAGATAAGCGTGTAAAAAGACCAGCCCCAGAAGGCACTGGCTATGATGGAGACGAGTGGGTGGATTGAGGGTTTGGCCGTGAAAGAGAACACGAGAAGGGAGATAGGAAGCACGATGGCAGCCGCTCTTGCGTGATGGACGCGAGCCTCGGGTACATCGCGATGGCCGGCAAGGGCGACCTGACGTTGATAATAGCGCTCTTGGTAGATGTTGGTAGCCAGGCCCGCGGTGACGCCGAAAACGATACCCAAGAACGCGAAACCAATACCGACAGTGTCGTATCCGTATCCATCGGGTCCGAAAATGAGGTGAAAGACGCCGTTGAACAAAAAGGATGCCCCATAGAGATACCCATTCCACAGCGCTCCGAACTGCACGATAGCTTCTGTAGCAAGGAAGCGGAACGGTCGCACTAGCGTTGAACCAAAAACTTGTGTAGGATTCTTCTGCTTTAGTTCGTCCGGTACATCAACGTTGTCATTTCTAGTAGTCTTGCGTGCCACTTTGGCTCTCCGAGCAAGCAACACGCTGTGTCGAGTCTCACCGAGGGCATAGAGAGCCACAACAAGGATGACCCAGAAAGACAGGCAGATGTAGAACATGATGCGGAAGACCGAGTGCCAAGACCTTCCCTGTGCAATGACTGAGAAGAGTACGAAGCCAGTCGGCGAACCACCTGTCGCAGCCCAAAGGAACCAAGACATTGCTGGACCGGTGTCGTGATGGTGGAAGAGGTCAGCTATTGTGCCTCCAAAGTTGCTTATTGTAACCGATGAGAAGTAGCCAGATAGGACTCGCAACGCTAAGAAGCCTCCCAAACTCTCGACAAATGTAGTACCGAGGAGCATACATAGGAAGACTGCGTATGATACAACGTATACTGGTCGTCGTCCAAAGTATTCCGAAAGCGGAGCTAGGCTCATGGGGCCAAATGCAAGACCTAGGATGTACATGCTGAGACCCAGTGTGGCTACTTGTGGTGACACTTGCATGTCGCGGGCGAAATCCGACGCTGCAGGCGAGAAGCCGGACGCACCCCAAGAAACGCTCAAATCTATCGGAATGATGGCGCCGACCATGAGCCATTTTCGTGTCGTGCTCCAGTTGCGCGGATCGTCTTTGTCGTGAGCGCCAAAGGCAACGACAGCCTCGCTATCAGTCGTCTCCACCAGCAATGGCTCATGCTCTGCAACCTCTTCCTCTGATCGACGCGGGATTTGGCTCATCGTCGAGATAAGAGCAATATGCAAGATATAGAATAGGCCATCAGCATCCAGAAGAGAACGAGTGAGGGTGGGTAGATAGTGAGTGAAGTCGAGGTGGACTGTTGGAGCGGCTGTTGCAGGCGATAAGCGGCGAACGTCACCTGCCAAGTGGGGTGGTCATGGAAACTCGCGTGGAGCGCCATGTCCTCACGACGCCCATCTTGTCTTCGCGTACTTGGTAGCGCAATCTGCTTGAGACATCGGAGTCTACGCACAATAGCCTTGTCGGTGCAAACAATAATGTTGCCAGCAACACCGTTAAAAAGACGGCATCTCTTACACTGGCGAGTGACTTGTATTCTGGAACGGCCTTCGAGCGGTAGAGTGCCGATTCACGAATAAAGTTCAAGGTCCCAATGTACTGCGAGAAGAGAACAATTCTTTTGTATCCATCCACCACCACTATGTATGCTCTGTTCCCAACCACCCATCCTGCAGCTAATCCGCATCTCCTCAAAGCCAAAGTGTGCTTTCGCAACCATCGCAAACAGTACATTTCTGTCCATCAATTCCTAGGTTCACGCTCTCGTTGAGATGACGTTGTGCATGTATGAAAAAACAAAGCCGAACCCAAAGCTCCAGTGCCACCGCAGGGAGATAGCCCATGCAAAAGAATTAGCGAATGCCTCGTCGGGCTGCCATTGCGAGAAAAGCAAAAGACGACGTTGCCGATGAGAACTTCTACAATATGTACTTTGTAAAAACACGTAAAGGACGAACAAAAGAAAAGAAAGGAAAGACCTTGCGCTAAGGTCAGTCTGTGCGTGTACGTGCAAACATGTCCTCCCTGGAATCCAACTCTAATATTCGTCATTAAGATATCTCCACCCGGCCGTGCCCGTTCGGCCCCTGGCAGTTCGTCGACATGCGAATTTGACGACGGGCTGCCACGCTGTCAAACAAGTCCGATGTGCGCGTTCGTAGTAGTAAACAGGGACAGCGATGCCCTGTGGGGAAGGATGATAGCCGTTAACAGCGTGATGAGAAGCCGAGAACGATATGTCCGTGGCAGCACCGCCAGCTTTCAAACCAGTAGATGGCTTCGTCAATGTGTCGCCGAATCGAAAACAGTGGTGATGCAAACTCCAAACATACTCCAAGCCGATGCGAAATGAAAGAGATCTCTATTACCGGACGCCGAGTGGCGGGCGGGGGCCCAGGCTACTCTGACTGCTGTGCGCAGAGTTTTCCGAATCTAGTTGGGTGCTACCGCTCCCAGCGCTGGCGCTTGCAGAACCTGTCAGACTGCGAACTTGCGGACGGGACTTGGGCGGGTAAAGGTTTTGGCTCACCCCAGCGTATTGCTCCACTTGTTGCGGTGCTACTGCGTTGCCGTGGCCGGGAGGGTGTCGGGGAACTGGTTGTCTCATACCTGGTGGCGACGGACGGCCGTTTGGTGGCATTCCGTTAGATGGCACCCCGTTTGGGGCATAGCCGTTCGGGGGCGAAGGGCGTCCCATCGGTCTCGGGCCAGGACTGAGTGGGTTGCCAGGAGACTGGCTTGTACGCCGGCTCATCGGGGGATAGGCACCATAGCTGCCGCCCTGTTGGAGCTCGTCGAGCCGGGCTGCCGTCAGGGAGTTTGTGCGTGATTGAGCTCCCATCGCGCCCCTGTCAACGTCGCCATATCGGTTCGACGAATATCCCATCAGCGGGTTGTTCATGATTGAGTCGTGTAAGCCGGGAACATCAGCCATCATCCGTGCGCTGGTTCGGTTCTTGTTCAAGCCAGGGCGAGCGAAGGGATTGCGAGATCGTCCTCCACCCTGCGGCCCTGGGCCCATACCGGCCATCTCAGGGTTTTTCCGAATTTGACTCGCACTAGGAACCTTTCGGTTTCGCTTTGAGGTGACGCTCATCATGTCGAAGTTATCAGGGTCGATCATTGGGCCAGGTCCGCGAGAGGCCATCGTGTCAAAGTAGTCATCCTCGTCCTCATCCTCATCGAAACCACCCATGTGAGACGGAGGTGGAGGTGGGCCTCGACGCGGGCCGCGACGCATGTTCATCTCCTGTTCTCTCAATTGCAGCTCTTTCTGTCGCAACATAAGCTCCCTCTCGCGCAGCGCTAGGTCATTGGAGGACGGAGGCCCGTTTGGGCCATTCTCGTACCCAGCACCAGGACCGCCCTCATCAGCTATGTTGTCGTAAAGCATCAAGTGACTGAATTCTTCCAAGTCGTTACCTTCGAAAGAGGGTCGTCGTTGGCCATTGGGCATTCCGTTCATTTGCCTGGGCGGGTAGCCGTTGACTGGTCCAGAAGGAGGCCCCCTGCGCATCACAGGCGGTGGGCCGGTCATAGAAGGAGCTCGACTTCCAGGACGTGGGCCGCCTTTCATCGGGCCGTTGCCATTCATCAGGGCTCCTGGGGGTCCTCGGGGCAACGGTGCAGAAGAAAGTCTAGGAGGTGGCAGACGCTGGTCTCCATTGGTGGGCGAAGGAACCGGAGCTACAACGGGTCTTGTGCGGTTCACTATGTTGATGTGATGGAGAGTTGCGTACAGTGTCTCGATACGAGGAACCGGGACCTGGGTCTCCTGTGCAAGTTTCAAAGGCGAGCCCAGGTAGGTCTCGATCTCCATGGGGCGCTTGGCCTCAAAATCCATGTACATAGTGCTATTAGTACCACCTGTTTGTACCATTTGCTGAATCGTGGTTTCCCGATAATCAGAGGGGAATTTGCAACCCTGTGCTTTGGCCAGTGCAAGCAGTTCGTCGATGATGCCAGTGACGAGCGGACGCACGCCGACTTTTTCGAGCAACTCGGCATGGTTAGGGGTCTCAAAGAGCACGCTTGTGGGATGAAAAGCAATGGCGCTGTGTATCACTGTTAGCGAAGAGTCAATGCGTCAGATGGTCGGGCGTGTAACATACCCAATCATGCGCTCAAACTGCTGCTGGCGAATATTGGGCGACACTTTGCAATCGACCTGGCCTGAGCTCAGGGTCATAGCCAGGGCTTCGGCCATATCCGACTGAATCTGCGGCGGAATCGAGGGGTTCTTGTTGGCAGGACCGACCCAGATGTCAGTGGCGCCCTTGTGCTCAAATTCGCTGGCTCCAATTTGTGCAATTTCTGCTCCAGACACCAGCGATAAGACTACGTTGGTCGGGAACCGTTGTTCCAGATACGATTCCACACCAAGGCTGTTTGTTGTGTTCATAAGGATACACGTGTGTTGGGGCGAGACAACAGATTCGATGATGTTCGCGATATCGTATACGTCGGGTAGGGCTTTTACGCAGAGCAGGACATAGTCGAACGGCTGTTTAGAAGAATGTGCAGCATCTTCGGGAGTTCGTACGACTACGGTGCATTAGCATCGCCATGGAACTGTTGGGATGAGGGAACATACCTGAATATGGCTTGAAGCGCTCGTTGCCGTAGAGCGCAGATCTAGGAGCAAATTAGCTCTGATGTTTGCGGGAGACGATAAGCGACGTACTTGAAGGATATGCCGTACTGGGCAACGCTCTCAAAGCCAGACTTCCAGACGAGCGTGACGTCGCAGGCATTGGTTGCTTGCAGACGCCAGGAGAGAAACGCCGAAACGGCATTACCGCCAACTAGGAAGAGAATCAGCCGTGGATCAGAACGGAGCCGGGACGAGCCGGCGTGCGGTGTTGGGGTTCTGGGCGAGCCGTCTTTGTTCCAAAATCGTCACGATCCGGACGAGGCGGCACGCAGACGCGCATTGGTAGATGCACGGGCAGGGATTGGACGCACCTGAAAGAATCCGCAGGCGAGGGACAGCGGGCGCCATTATGAGAGGTGTGTAGAGTCGGGTCGAGGGCAGAGGGAGCGGCGACGACGAGGGCCAGAAAGTTGGCGACGCCGCGCTTGAGGTGCGTGAGCGGGCTGGGCGACTGCTTTCGCGTATTACTGATTAAGATGGAGCGGCTTTAACGAGCGTGCGGTGGTGTTCGAGTCCTCACTGGGGCGTCATGTGCATGCGATAAAGAGGGATCCGGGTCAGAGGGTCGGACGCCAGCGTTGTTCTGTGTTTCGCTCGGGAAGCACAGCAACTGCGAGGCGATGGTCGGGGCGGCCAAGAGGCAGGTGCGGTCGGCACTCCGCTGCAACAATGGAAAGAGCGAACGACGAAAGGGCAGGGAAGGCGGCCGGGGCGGAGCAGAAGTTAAGGCACAAAACTCAGAATCAAGCGGCACTGGTAGGGTCGAGAGCAGCAGGATGCGGACGGGGGACACCACTGCAGGCGGAGGGCGGCGGAGCGAGTGCAGCGCGAGCTTTGCTACGGCATCTTAAAGCTTGCTCGCTGCACGCACGCTAGCGATGCCCTGTCTGCCTTTATCGTCGCAGGAATACATATATCTTATTGGGGCGCGTCGCCCGCCGCGCCGTCCAACGGCCGCTGCGTCATTGCCGGCTGCCAAAGCGCGCCCGCCGACTTTCCACCAGCTGTTCTGCGCTCTTGTGCAGCGCCGTGCAGGCCAGCCGTGCATGCACATTTTGGACACGCGAGGCTCCGCGCCGGCTGCCCTGGCGAGGGCGCAGTGGGCGAACCCGCGTGCTGGGCCTTGGGCCTTGGATCTGAGAGCAGCCCAGGGCATGCACCGCCGAGAAAAGCTGCGTGGCCCGTGGAGATCGTCCGCCACACCCAGGGCTAGTCCAGTACCGGTCCTTCGTCTGATCGCGCGCTATCGTGCCCTTGCCCGTGCCCATCGAGGTCGCAGGTCGCAAGTCGCAAGTCGTCCACTGCCATGCCGCCGCCCCAAGGCCCGACGAGCGCGCACGTCGTCCCGTCCTGCGCAGCATCACCAGTGCGCTCTCGGCCGCCTCCCCTTGCGCAACGCCACTGCATCCATCCCCCAACAGCGCCGCCGCCAGCCAATCGCCGCACCGCCTGCGTGCGCGCAAGCTCGCGCTTCACGTCCTGACGTGGAGCCGTTCTGGCATCGACGTCGCCGTGGCCCCGCCAAGCCCAGCCGAGCCAGGTGCTGGCGGGCGCGTTGCCGCGAGACGCCAGTTCATCATTGTGGGTGCTCCGTGCGTTTGCAATGTCCGCTCCCTGGACCGTTCAACCGCAGCATGCAAGCTGATCCTCAATGACCTCTCGCAATATCCCGCCGCTGTCAGAGCGCCGCTTTGAAATGCTTCGCGCCTCGCTCGCGGCTGCACCACGGCCATTTTCGCCCGGCTCGCCGCCCGCGCAGCCCTCCACCATCTGCTGCCGCGGGCTGCCACGTCCATCGGCCTCGGAGCCGGCGCCATTGCACTATGCTAACGTCGTCGTCCCGAGCCAGCAGAGCCGGGCGGAAGGCTCTGCTGGCTAACGTCGGGTCCGACTAGGGCACGACAGAACCAAGGAAGCATCGCGCCCGCGTCTTTTCCCTGAATGAGCCTTTGGTCAAGCCTATCAAGCCCAACCAACCCACTCTGCTACTATGGACGTCGATTAGCGACGCCACGCCTCCTCCCATGGTGATTGCAATCTAAATCCCATCCGCCCCCATTCCTTTGGATCCCATCGTCAGTATTTCGCCATCAGTCGATCATTGTTTCCCGGCGAGGAAAGCTTGCCAAGCCACGTACTCTTGCCGTCAGCGATCAATTGATGCTGGGTACACAAACCCACTACTGAGAAGCTGCACAAACGCGTTTCAGCATCTGCACCAGTCCTCCCGAACCAACTTCGTCCCCGCCACGCTGCGGCGATCGTGATTGTGACGTTTCATACTTCTCAACATCTGCCCCACACCTTGTGTTCAAACGCAGACCATGTTGTTGTCTTAACAACTCCAGAACCCGCGCCTCGCGACAAAACTCCAGCCCTTTCCGTCGACCACGCGGATGTAGACCTCCAACAAGTTAGTTAGCTATCAAGGCAACAGTGGCATGATTATCGCTCGCGTTCGCTTACGGGCCCCTCCCATCCGATTGGGACGTGAGGCCTAGCCTTTTGCTGACTTTTGACAGCGGCTCCGGGACCATACAATCCCGACATCTGGGTGTCGTTCCCGATTCGCAGCCTGCATTTGCTGTACGCGTACGAGTACGATTAGATGCACTCAGCCAGCATTGATTTGCAGATCAATATTGCCTATACTGTATGGTGGCTTACAGTCGCCACTCCCGCCCCCTTTGCATACTGTACATCTGCCATGCTGTGCTTCAGGTATTTCTGTTATGGAGCCTAGTCTGCCGAAGCGATAATGCTAGATCGACGATGCGGTGCGCTCGGACGTTCGAGTATTTCCACAATGCATTTCCACATTCGCCATGCTTCAATTTTCCGGATGTGGGCGCCCAAAGTTCGCGAAAACTCTATTTGGACGCTTCTCTCTCCGAGGAGGCGAAAAGAACTACCAGCAACGATACCTTGTCGAAAAGAGGTTCACTACCAACAGACATTTGACGTCTGGTCCCTCACAAGGGCACCCCTGCTGCCGCGTCACCCAGGAGACAAACACAATCCATTCATGAAATGTTCTTCGAACGGTACAGCTCAAGTCGCACGTGTTGTGGGAGTTTTCGTTCCGGACGAAGGTTGGACCAACGTTACGACAAATTCGACATCTAGAGCAAGCTACCAAACGCAGATCTTGAATTGAACCATTTTCGCGATACAGTAGAGTCATCATAATGCTATAGCCGAAATAATGTCATCTCTCTTTGAACCCTCAGTATCTCCTATTCCTGTGGCGTTTATCAGTTTCGAGTCATCGGCATGTACGCAAAAGGGGGTTGCATCATGGCTGATGATCACCATACGTCAAAAGATAGACGGACACTTAAAATACACATCCCGCAGAAAAGGCACGCGACCCAGCGAATCACACGAAGGTCAGCCTGACATTCTTCCCTACGAGGATCCAAGCGAAGCCGGTTCCTTGTTGCAATCCCTGCCACGCCTTGCCCGTTCCTATCGTGGCGGTTTTTTGTTACCGTCGGAATTTGCGACGGCCCGCTCGAGTCGTTCGCGGCACTTCAGCGCTGGCTGCCGAGTCGCCTGCCTTATCCTCATGGCACAGGGCCAGATCGCCACCTCCACTGCGGCTCAACACCAAAATCAATCATACTCGCGTAGCATATTGGTCTCGCATAAACAGCACTCGCAACTTCGCTACCACTCCATCCTCTCGAGTGATATTCACCGTTAATGGTGTCTCAATCCGGAACTCGATAGCTCTCACAACCTGACCTCTACACCTCAGGAGTCTCACCTCCCTACACTCATCTCTCTTGTCAAATGAACCACTCCGCGCCTAATATGATTACCAACTATACCTTTTCCCGCCTCAATAGCACCACTGCTATACCTTAGGACAGCATACTAAGCCCACCCCCATATTCTCCCCGGCACTCCCATCCACTCAAACCCATGCACCCCAAACACAAGCACCGATCGCGCCACCGCTTCGCCTTCGCCGCCGGATCTTCGCGCCCCCGGCTCAACGTAGACCCGCGCGACTACAATGCAGAACCGAAATTCCCATCAGGCCCCGTGCATCCTCCGGCTATTATCGTGAAACGTGATGATAAGTGGCCGCACAGGCAGTGCCTATTGAGCCGATCGCGCGATTGGGTGCGATGCAACCTGGCAAGTTTGCCTGTTGGATTGACATGGGTACAGTTGTTACATCCAAGTTTTTTTTGCTTCGCGGTGAGCAAGGCGCACTGGGGGCGGGCAAATGGGAGAGGCGAACGTGGGTAGCGGTAGATGGAAAGCACCATAGGGTGAGTACCACGGTGTGGGTGAAGAGGGGTACTGGTTCCAAAGGGGACGAGTGCGGACGATGGTGCTGTAGCATCGCTAAGGGGAGGTGCGTTTTTCCTTCTTGCCAAATACCGAGAAACCGCAAGATGACGCCAATCTAGATGATCTGGAGCTGAGTATATCTACTTGGGGTCCACTACGTGGGTAGGAGCGGTGAGTGACGACTAGTCTTGACACGCGAGTTCAAATCGTCATTCCTTTCGTGGCTACAGTACATTTGTGCGAGCCCGACCACCCGACGCCGAGCCTGCTTTTCAGAAAAACCTTCCAGTCAAGATTGCTAGCATAAAATCCCATTGAACAAAACGCACACCGAACAAACTGGCCACTTCGAGAAGGTATGGAAAGGACAACTCTAGTTGTCCATGTAGGTTGAAGCATCAACACCCTCCGCAGGGAATTCGCTGTGTAAATGTTAGTCGTGGTTCGACATAGGGCGGGCAGTGTGACTTACGGCAGTTCCACCTCGAAGCGCTTCTCAATCTCCTTGAGGACAGTCTCATCGTCGGGGTTGCTGACGAACGAGATGCTGAGACCCTTGGTTCCAAAACGACCAGCACGACCGACACGGTGGAGGTATGAGTCAGCCTTGTCGGGCATGTCGTAGTTGATAGCGACGTTGATACGCTCAACGTCGATACCACGACCGAAGATGTCAGTCGATACGCAGATACGAGTCTGGAAGTCCTTGAACTCCTTGTAGCGCTTGATGCGCTCCTCTTGGCCGATACCGGAGTGAACGGCAGTGCTAGGGAAATTGCATTCGCGGAGAAGCTTATCAAGCTCAGTGCAGCGTTGAGTGGACCGCACAAAGATGATGACTTGGTTGAACTCGAGCGTGTCGAGCAAATCATTAAGCTTGCGGTTCTTCTCGCGCTCCTCCAACTTCATGTAGTACTGCTGAAGTCCGTGCAGGGTGAGTTTCTTCTCGTTATCGATGTAGATCTCGAGGGGGCTCTGCATGAACTTCTTGCAGGTGAGCTTGATCTCCTCGGACAAGGTGGCCGAAAACATCATGACCTGCTTGTGGGCTGGGGTCGCACGGAAAATGGTCTGGACATCGTTGCGCATGTCTGAAAAAATGGTCAGGCGGCGATACGGATAGGGGGGTGGGTGTACTGACCGTTTTGATCCAACATCTTGTCGCACTCATCGAGTACGAAGTGCTTCAGGTTGGAAAGGCGTAGCACCTTGTCGCGGACGAGAGCGTTGATACGTCCAGGGGTACCAACGATGATGTGCGGGTGTGTTTCCTTGTCCTTGAGGATACGGATGTCCTCCTGGATCGGAGTTCCACCATAGAAGACACCGACCTTAATATCGGGCAGAAACTTGGCGAATCGGTTGTATTCGTTCTTGATCTGGTATGCCAACTCACGGGTATGGCACATAACTAGAACAGTTGCGACGCCAGCTTCGGGCTTCTCATCCAGTTGCTGGAGCGTGGCCAGCACGAAAACGGCGGTCTTTCCGAGACCGGACTTAGCCTGGCAAAGGACATCGTTTCCTAGAATGGCCTGGGGAATCGTGGTTTGTTGGACTGTATGGAGAAATTTATGTCAGAAGGGGTCTCTTAAAGCGTCGAAACGAAGCGATAGAAGCGTCCGTCCATGATGCAAGCGCAAGTCGCGATAACGACAAACATATCCTCCTCTTGGCGTGTCCTCCCAGCGCAGCAGCGTGTCCCTTCTTTTAATGATATTTCCGGTTCGCGCAATCTCTTGCATCCTTCGATACGGGCAATCAAGAAGGGACAGCGCTTGTGCCACACGAAGCCAGCGCAGTCGCTGTGAGCTTCACCGCCGCCGTGCAAGGTCGGTTTGAGACAAACATGGGCCAACACCCCGCCAAGTTGCGTGTGCCCGCGAGCAATATATCGGTGAAACAGGGTTCGCTTTGTTGCGGAAATGGACGGACGCTTCAGGTTGTATGGAAGGCTGAGGGGGAAATGATTAGACTAACCCTCGGAAGGATGTTCGAAGCCACAGTCCGTGATCGCTCGAATGAGCTCGTCCTTGAGAAGGAAATCGCGGAAACCGGTTGAGTGGATGCCGACGTAGCTGCCCTTCTTGTCGCCGGCTGCGTCATCTGCGGCCAGGCCCTTTGCCGCGCCTGCGGTGCCGTTGGCGGGTGCCTCGGTGGGCTGGATCTCCTCATCGGAGTAGTCGATGAGATCTTCCTCGTGAGACATGATGAAGTGAGAGTCGAAAGTGCTAGTGGATCTGTGAAGGCAGGAAGGGGCGAGTCGGATCTAGTTGCTCGCACGTATGGTCGCAAAGCTTCCTGTCGAAGCACACGGCTGTCGGTATGGAGGCGCGCAAAGGAGAAGAATATTATACGAAGAGTGTCGAGACTCGGTCGCTGGTCGAAGTGGGGTGGGGTAGAAGCAGTATGGGGTGCGGCGGAGGCTGAAGGTGTGAGGGCGTAGGCGCGATGTCGATGCGAAAAAGCGGCCTGCGCTTTGCCAAGCTGCGCTAGCCCGGTCCAACGATAGCCACAATTTGTCTCAGCCCTGCTGTCAACGCTGCTGTCTCAACCACTGCACTTCCCTCTCGCTTTCTACATGGCCAAAGACAAACCGCCCAAGACGAAAGGCGTGCCAAACAAGCATCTACATTCCCGGAGCACGTTCCTGTACCAAGCAGCTACCTATCTGACTTTGCACGCCGCAGCATTAGACGCCAATGAAGCCCCAGATTCTGCACAAAGCAGCGGTACAACTGGTAGCCGCCACAGGCTAGCCTTGCAGCTGGCATCCGATTTGCAAAATGTCTCGCGAAAGGGACAAGTGAGACTTTCGTCCGAGCTTAAGCGCACGATATGTAAAACGTGTAACACAGTACTCATACCCGGGCGCACAGCAACGCAGACTATTGAGAACGAGAGCAAAGGAGGCAAGAAGTCATGGGCCGACGTTTTGGTCGTAATGTGCACGCTTTGTGGCAGCAAGAAGCGATTTCCTATTGGAGCCCAGCGTCAAGAGAAGAAGTCTGAACGGCAACCTACTCAAGCGCAAAGGAGCTTATCAGAAAAGAGCGCAGAGGAACCGACATCAATTGCTTCGCCGATGCAGATGACTACCGATCAAGATTCGACCCCGGGCTGATCAGTGTGCCTGCCTTGCCTATGGTCACTAGCATTAATCAAGTCCATGGAATAGTCTGTCGATGAAGGCGACGAGGTCATCTATCTGCTCCGGCTCCTTAATCCAGTTCCTTCCTGGCCTGCGCCGATATACTTTCTGGCATCGATCACTGCGCCTCCTGCGGTGAAGATGGTCGAGAGCCAATAACAGTTTTCTATGCCAATGACCACATCCTGCAGTAGCGATTCGTAAGCACAGTCATCCGGGAGCTTCGCGAGCTTACTTACATCAGGCCCGTGTCCAAGATGTACTAGTATGATGACAGCAATCTGCACCGCAGCCGACCCAACTTCCAGGATCCTTCTGAGCCCCTCTCGAAGAGTGCCGTAGCGACTGGACACTCTCGCCTCCGTATCACCAGCTATAAAAGCCATCGCTTCTTTTGCGAACGGCATCCACGCGCTGAGACCTACGAATGCTCCCAGACACCCCTTGAGCCCAGCTGGCCCTGTGAACAAAGACCAAAGTGCAACTGCCAATCTCTGCGAAAATCCTCCAAGTATAACACGGTCAGATTTTTCATCAAGTTTATCAACTTCGTTCTCAATGGTTTTCGCTGTCAGCTGGTGACCATCGCGCAACCCTGGGAGCTGGTGATCTTGAGAGGAGCTCAGATCATCAAGCGAGACTGTCGAACCAAGCCGAGCGTTTCCCTTGGAAAATTGTGCACCACAGCGGGCCAGCATCTGGGAACACCCATCGAACCAATGGAAATGAATCGGGAAAACGTTTCCCCTGTTGGGATGTTCTATGAAGGAAAAGACCAATTGCGAATTCTCTGGCGGTACTTACGCGCCCGTGAAGAAGAATGACAGTTTGCGAGTGCGTTACGCCATGGGTGGGGTCAACAATATAGGGCGGAAGGAAGTCCATGGTGCAAGTAGGAGACTCACCTAGGTGAGGAAAATGGAAATACTTCGAGATGGACAATCTCAGAATGTTTGCTTTGCCATCTTTTCAATATCGTTCATCGGATGCTTTGATGTGCATCTCTCGGCAACAGCCAGACGACTTATGCGAGGAATTCGGATTAACCCTGTTCCCGACGAATATCTGGAACATTGATGCGTATACACATGTCCTCCAGTCAAGTACAGCATGCAAATTTCGACAAAATTTGTAAAGATCAATACTGCTGGGTCAGGCAGGGTTACTTCGCATGAGCTCGGTGTCAAACATTTCGACGTCATAAAGCAGCCATGATAGCCCGAACATGATGGCTAGTCGGCAACGTAGACGAGGAGAGTTGATCGTGTATCTACAGAAGCTTGCACAAACATGGCATTTGTATGAACCTGCAGGTAAAACGAATGATAGACAAGGACACCGAGATAAACAGACGTAAAGTCTTCCATGCCGGAGAGCGCAAGCGCGCGAGCAACATCCGTTTGCTACAATGTTGTCCACCAATACCGCTTGTGTGCAAAGTCAGGCTTAAAAGTTGTAAATTTACTGTACAGTGTGATCTTGAGTAATCGAGCAACTTCCGACATGATACGATCACAATACAACTTTCATGTCTCACAGTTATACCGAACCCGCCTTCAAGGGAAAGAAAATGTACCCAAAACAAAACACCCAAAAGTCAACCCAACTGACGAACCGACCGATGGCAAACATAGAGTCAAACTCCCCTCCGTCGACCCCTATGTTCGAGGTTGCTGCTCGAACGTGTCTGCTCCGACCAAAGCCTCGGCCGTTACCGATTACGGTCAACACTACTTGGTTTGAAGACAATGTGAATGAGCACTCCCTGTTCAAGACTAGGCGCAAGGGGGCAAAGGATGTTCAAAAGACTCTCGAAGCGTCTTATGCTCGACCAGCTTCGCGAGGCTCTACCACCCGTCAGGCACTTTTCGGTCTCCCGGAAACCGCAGAGTTGGTAGAACAATTTCATGAATTCCAGACTCAAGAGCACGATGACCCTCCTCCTTATTATGAAGCAGTGGAGCTAATTTTGTCGCCAACTGAGTTATCTGCTCGTGCCCGTACTTTCTCTGACGTAATGAAACATGGTAACAAGTTAGAAGAGAATGGTATCTTGAAGTTTGCTTCAGAGCTGGATGAAGCCAGTGATACACAGCGTACGTTTTCCACTTTTCTACGCCGGTCTGGGGTGGCGTCTCGTCAATCTGCTGCAGGTATTCTGGGCCTACCCGGGTATGCGTACATGCCTCACAAGAATGGTATTAATTTGCACAGCAAAGAAACGGCCGCAGCTACCACTCGAGGAACCGATGACCCCCAAACCGAAGCGGGGCTACACGAGCGAGTCGCGGTCGATGCGGATGTCGATGCGGATGTCGAAGCGCAAACCAAGGCGCGTAGCCATAACCGTTAGCATGGGGTGCTCTCCGCTATCCGCGGAGTCTTGAGTAAGCAAAAGGTCTGGCATTCTCAAACACCAATGACTTGCCAATGGTTCCCTCATGTTTACAGCCAGTTCACGAGGAAAAAGTAGAGAACTGGCCAAAGAATTTGTTTCCCACCGATTCTGAGCACAATGCACAATGAAGTATAGCTTCACAAGGCACGGTTTCCTTTTTACTTATAACATTATTTGCGATGGCCAAATAGCACATGTAAATTACACCGGATAACGCCCATCACTGTTGGTCGAAAAACACCCCACGCCGAAATGAACCAAGCTTCCGAACATCATAATTCTTTGTAACATAACGTTAGTCTACTATAGGCCTTTCTAAAGCTACTTCTCTCCCTAAAGCTAGTCTGTAAAGTAAAAATTACAGTAGCCTTGAGTATACTGTTAATGACTCTATTTATAGTTTCTAAAACCATCTTAGCTTCTGATCCCTGCATCGCTGTCGCCACTAACATTTTTCGACTCCTTGGAGGTTTTGGACGATACTTATCCTAAATAGGAACATATGTCAAGCCTATCGTAGCATTAGCACATACAAATATGGATTCTGAAAATATCTGTAGTGCGTCTCTTAGTGTGCGTTTAAGCGAGCTGCTGTACAGAAATTTAGCAAGATTACTTTGCTGTAATATATTTTATGATACTTGAAGCCTTAACTCTTCTGGAAGCGCAATTACATGATAGCTATTTTTAAAGGCTCTGTGGCCAGTTATCGTGCTGGCTAACACGCAAACTGCCATACAGTGCCCCCTCCCACCACCACATAGATATGGATTGAGCCACCCAGGTGTTGTTGCAGCCTCTCCCTCCAGATGGACCGAGAACCTATCCTATCCTATCAGAACGCGGCAACGTGCCTATTTCAACATATGCCATCGCGGACGACACCTAAAGAGGAACAAGCAGAGAGCCGCTGGGTACCTCATTTCCCCCACCAACAACAGCACCTGTCGTGTTTATCCTGGGCCCACTTCTATGTTGACTGACAGTTCTCGCCATCATTCTCTATCCAATATGAGTACATCCACCGCATCGTCATCTGGATGATGGTGCTCTCTGATGAGACATTCCTCTTTGTAATGTCTACCTCGAAAGTGTCGTATTGCCATGCAGGTAGGGATAGCACTCTTGGAAGCGATTAAGCGATATTGAGAACCAACAACATCCGCCATCATTCGGATATATCGTTTTTCGTTGCGCATATGATACGATCTACCATTCCGCAACGCCCAAGTGCCCGATGGGGATTCTGTACCCCGTTCGTTTCGATATCGGGTGACTGCTGTGCCTAAGCATTTCGGGATCATCCTCCACATCTGATCCTGTTGTTGACACGGTCTTCCGTCACATAATAAACATGCAGTGGTCATGTAAGCAAACGTAGCCCCCTCCTCTGAATCTGCCAGAACCTGCGCCCAAAGGTATCTGTCTTTACAGGAGACTTTGATCCCGCGAAGGAAGTCATGCTCCTTTGGCCACGCAATTTGAATATGCGTCTGGTCCCGACTCAATCCGGATGGTTCAAGAATCTTGACGATTCGATGTATAGCCCCGAGTAGGGAATCATAGGCCTCCATTGACTGACATCGCAAGTGAAATAACCACTCGCGAAAATCAGGCCTTTGCAGACCTGTTAGGATATTGTAGGCCTTGTTCCAACTGTTCCAGCCAGCTTCGCTCATGTACGTCACGCAGAACTTCGGCATCAGATCGCTAAGGAGCTCCTGTAGTGGTATCCTGCGAGCTACACCAGTACAGCAGCTCACTTGAACGCCCATATAACATCCAAGAAACTCCATCAATGGAGATTGATCTTTGTGGGGATCATCTCCTTGAAGCGTATATTGCTTCAGCAATTTTCCTGGAACCCTGGTCCATACTTGAATAGCTTGAAGTGCAGCATGGTCTGGTCCGACTTGGAATCCGAGTTGTCGTTGGTTTGGATGCCATCGCTCGGGTTCAACTCCTAGATATACTAGAGGACTGGATGACCTCCAAACTTCCCACGGGAACGAGCACAGTACCTTATTCTCCTCGACCATTGCCCCTACGGTAATCTTACTCTCACGATGGAAAGAAGTTTGAGGAATTCCACCTGGGCCGGATCTAGCTTCCCAATGAAACTCACTGGCATCCACATCTTTAGGGTAAATTATACCACCTCCGACATAGATACATCGTAGTAGTGACTCTTCATGGCCAGTTAGAATGAGCTGACCAGGTCCCCAAGTGTACAAGATGTCGTTTGGCGTCGCTTCCACGTGATGCTCGCTTTCGCCAGCAAAGACACTATTGATCTCAGGTTGTGACAGTGTGGCCAAGATTCCGTCCGTTGAGGCCTTTCGAACAACGTCATGTGTTTCCACATTTCCTTTCATCCACCCCTTCGACATGCTGAACGTGATCAGAGGTCCTTTAATCATCTGGCTTAAGCAAGTGAGCCTTGAAAGGCGCACGTTGATGTGACGATCAAGGTGCCATGAACCTTCCCTCAAGGCGCAAGACCCTAATAACACGGAACGTTCTTGAGCGTAGTTGGTGAAAACCGATTCGATGGGCCCTACGTGCCCCTGGCAGAATGATACAAGACCGACACATAGAAACTGCGCAGCTAAGCAGCATACATGGAGAGATTTCGCCGTTGTGTAGGGCTCCGCGGAGAATGGGGTACCGCGAGGCAGAAGTGGGCGCAGGATATCTACGGCAATCTTCAGCGGATGCTTCAAATTGTGCGCGTCAGAAGAGACGCTTGACGAGAGTCGATCCAACTCGGCATGTAGGGCGACAGCCAAGGCGACATTGACCCTTTCTAGTTCAACCCTACCAGGTCTCGAAACAGTAGGTCCAACATGAGTCCGAGCGATAGTGAAATGGTGAAGACATAAATTAGCGTTTTGAAGAGCCGCGACCGCTTTACAAAAGTTCTCCAGAACACGTTTCAGTCGAGAAATAACTGCTGACAGGTAAGCAGACCCAGCGTCTTGAGAAGAAATCTTGTAAGATATGTACGAGATTGAAAAATTCTTCTCAAAGATGACTTCACCATTCCAGTCTTGCAAAGACCGAGAAATGGGTGCGATACCGCCGAGGCCGCAGAGCTGTTGGACCATAGTCCTGATATCATGTCGCCTGGAAGTCCAGGGAGAGCTTAGGAAGGCGACATCCAGGGAACCTTGGAGCATTGACTCATGACTACTTGAGTCCATAGCTTGAATCAGTTGGTCTTGAGGACCTGAGTATATCCACGGAGCATCGTTCGCCTCCTCCATGAGAAGGGTGGCAATATCGGAACGGCTATAACCCACCTCGATAAGCTCATGCAACCACTCGTACTCATTTTGAGCTACATTATCGAAATCGTTCTGCAAAAGCTGTCGTACGGCACTGTCGTCAAGGAGCTCTAGCGCTTGGACTAGGACTTCTGTGCTCTTTTCTGAAGTCTTCGCCATCTTGGGCTCAACTTCCTCCAAGATCCCAGATGCCTTGTTGAGCGTATTGCCGTGTTCTCCACCCGGCGCGTTGACCTCGGCGCCCTTGTTAAGCAGTAGCCTTGCAATCACCTCGTGGCCTCTAGATGAAGCCGCCTGGAGCGCGTTGCTGTAGTGTCTACCCTGCGCGTTGACCT